TCCCGCCAGGGTTTCTATTCCAGCAGGAAGCAGTTCCTTCCCAGGAAGTACGTGCAAAGCACAGGCAAGCTTTAATTCACACATGCAGAAGGATTCTAACAATTCTGCTTTCAGTTATGGCAACAACCAGGTTAGTGTTGCTTTTAATCCCGCTTCATTTATTTCAGTAGTAAGTTTGTACCTTTATTCAGACCAGAGCATTCATGTTCTAAGTCAGTGGTGAATTTACAGCAAAACATGCACACACATATCACAAACTTCCCATGTATTTATACACACCAAAATTAGAAAGGATCCTGTCAGTGCATGAATACATTTACACACACTGACCTGCTTATTTGGACAGCTGTTCTGGAATATGCATTTTTAGTTTGGATATAATTAAGCTGTGGATTTGAGTCCAAGATCTGATCAGTTAGCACCTTATTCCCTAAATGTGTATCATAAAAAATAGAATATAAGGACTCAGAAGCTGTCAGAAAAGTAAAACAACTTGTGTGTGATTGAATAAGGGGTGATTACATGTTGGAGAGCAAGCCTAAGGCACCCGGCCACAGTCAACAAACCAGCTGGCAAGTGCAGCAGGTAAGTGAGGGAGCTGGGAATTGGCCTAAGCCTATGGAATCACAGCTGAGCATCCCTGCCTTAGAGCAGCTCACCCAAGTGTGCACCTATCCAAGCTCCACAATTGCTCTGAGCATAAGCCTTAGTGTTGAAGGACTGGACACAGGAGAGAGCCTTTTTACTTGAGACCATGGGGACAAATTTCCAAAAGGCCAGTTCTCACATTCCTTAAAACACAGGATGTATCTGATCAACACACTTAAAGAACTTGTGTATTCAAAATGTAGAAAGGCACAGCAGTTAGTCATTTATTGCATCCACAAAAATATAAGTTTATTTGCATATCCAAATACAGGATATTTATTTAATTGAAAACTGTATGCTCACAATTTAAATAATTTCACTTGCCATTGAATAAAACCGCAGTCTTAATAACTGCAACTAACTTTACTCCCCAAACACCAAAGAACTCGAAGCTTCTTTCTGTTCTTTATACAGCTGTTTTGCCCTGTTTTTCAGATCCTCTGCCTTAGCATCATTCTTTTCCACGCCATCTCCCAGCTTGTACATGCGACTGGCGTTGGCACAGGCCCACACGTGGCCCAGGTCACAGCCTTTCAGGGAGTACTTCAGGGCACGGCCCATGTCCTTGGGGACCCCGGGTGCCCCCTGCAGGTATATCACACCCAGGTTGAAGCAGCTGGCAGCAAAATTGCCGTCACAGGCTTTAGTGTAATAGTCTCTGGCGACCACGGGGTCGGGTTTGTCATTGTTCACTCTCCCATCGTGGGCCAGCAGCCCGACGTTGTGACAGGCATTCACTGACTTCTTCCCACCTTTCTCACATGACTTCAGGAAAGACTTGTAGGCAGCTTTCAAATCCGGTTCAAGTCCACCTGTCAGCCAAGAAACCAAAACATTTCAGTGAGGACATGCTAAAACAGATAGGAGGTCTCTGCTATGCAGCAAGCTTCCCTTCCCACTGGAAAGAGAGCATCCCTCTGTTCTGATGCTACAGTCAACATTTAGGACTTCAGAGACACCATCACTGTCTCACTGACAAAGGCTTTGCAATGTCTGACTTAGGAAACTCTCCTCCGCTCATAGGTAATCACAAGAGCACCTGTAACCAAAAAATAACCCAAACCAACAAAACACTCTGGCCACTACTATATCCAAGGATTTCTTAATACTTACACAAGGCAAATATTATTTTGCCAGCATACCTACATATGCACTGAGATTGTTACTAGTTTTGAGCTACAGTACAAACATTGTTCCTTACTAGCATTGTCATTTAGAAGATGTTGCACTCATTTAACTGCTCTCTATTACTGTACCAGCAAATATATTTTGGTCAGACTTGGGGGCTACCTAGGTAAGCAGGGTTACTGGTCTGTGACTTTCTTACTTTCTCTAAAAGAGAAGAAATCCAAATGTTAAGAACTGAACACGCTGCAACACTGAGTCCTGGCCATACTTACCACTTATACAAGTGTAATTATAAAAAAATAATACCCGTGATTAACCTACAGCTGATACTTCAGAAGGAAGCAATTTATGGTTTTCTACTCTTCCCATGCTTTCATGAGGTGACCATGAAAGGGGCGGGACAGGGGGTTGCTCCTTCAAGGTCAGGAGGACACGCAGGTGTTCGGGTGGCCAGGTATTGATGGGGGACGTGGAGGAGTCACCATCCCTAGAGGTGTTTAAGAGGTGCCTGGGTGATGTGGATTAGGGGTTACAGTGGCAGTGCTGAATGAACGGTTGGACTTGATGATCCTAAAGGCCTCTTCCAACCCCAGTGATTCAATTCTCTGACTCCAGGCGTTCGGCACCTTTACAAAAGCAAGAGCCCCCCCGGCCCACCTTTGCCGAGGGCCTGGTAGGCCCCCAGTTTGTAGCAGCTCTCGCTGTGCCCGTGCTCCTCGCAGTTGTCGCGCATCACCCGCGCCGCGGCCGCGAAGTCCTTCCTGACGGCGTCCAGGTAGTCTGCGAAGCGCTGGCAGCCTGCGGGGCACGGCACAGGGGCTGAGCGCCCGCCGGGCCCGCCGGGAGCGCGGGGCGGCGGGGCCCTTACCGTCCGGGTCCTTCTCCTTGAAGCACTGGTAGCTGTACTCCACGTGCAGGTTCTCCAGGTACGCCCGCACCTCCTCCTCGTCCGCGAAGTTGATGAACCCGGCCATGACCGCGCCGGGCCACGGGGAGATCCCGGGGCCGCTCCCGCGAGCAACGAGCGTTCGGTGCGGCACCGGCACCGCCCCCGGGACCGCCCCTTCCCCGGCCACCCCTCCCGCCCCTTCCCCGGCCACTCCTCCCGCTCCCCGGCCACTCCTTCCGCCCCTTCCCCTCCCGCCCCTTCCCCGACCGCTCCTCCTACCACCGCTCCCTCCCGCGATCGCCGGGAACTCTAGACAATTCAGCAGCTCTAAGCGATAGCACCCTGTTAGTATTTTACTCTCGGAGTTTTGCTTCACTGGAGGTCTGATTCGGAACACTCCAATCCACAGGTTGAGACACGTCAGAGACTAAGACAATTGAGACTCACGTACATTAATGCGCTCTGCATGGCTTACGAGTCACGGTTGCTTCCCCCACGGTTGCTTAGAGTTAAAATTAATGTGAAAGTACACTTGAGTTAAAATGAATTACAGACAATATCTGCAAATGCTTTGTCCCAAATTATTTCAGGAGGAGAAGACCAGCTTGCAAAGTTTTGGGGACAAATAAAACTCAGTTAAATCCTGTGCAGAGAGTCCCATAGGAAAAAGCCCAATAATTTACTAAGGGCTGGAGCTAATTGTAACCAACCATCAGCAAACCCTGCTGGGCACATGGCTGAAACACCAGTTACACCTTCTAAAGTATTTCCTCAAAAGTTTTCAGACTGCTCTAAATTTGGGTGGCAGTTAAAATATATTTTTCATAGGAAGCTAAAATCTTGTGTTCAAAATGTACTGACCCAAACCCACTAAAGAACACAAGTAAGAACATATACATTGTTTGGTCCATGCTGGCTGAGATTGGAGGCTGTGGGAAGCTTGCGTTATGAAGAGAACCTTTGGAAAATGAATTGATTTTGTACCAGAAATCTTGTTTCTATGAAAATCCAGCTTTGAAAAACATTCTAGTTTGCACAGAGTTGGTAGAAATTCCTTGAGCTTGTTGGTTTAAGACCTTGAAGAGTCTGCTCCTGATGGGATTTTGCCTTTGCAGTTTCTGATGCCGATGTTAAGCCAGTGCCAGCTCAGCCACACAGCCTCTCCAAACCGGGAATGGAGTGACAGAGAGAATTCCCAAGCACAGCAGGGCAGGCCAAGAACTGGCACTGGGAGCAGGGGATCAGTCTGTCACTTCAAAGTTTTCACTGTATGAACCCAGACAGGAGAAAGGAAGATAGTTCCTATCATAAATACGTATGGAATGAGGAAGAGAAGGTGACATCTGTGTAGAAGTTGGCAGTGAATCAGTGAATTTGTTAAGAGGTATCTAAAGAATAGCCTGGAAGCTTTCAAAGACTTTAGGAAGTGGATGAAACTCATAATGGACCAAGAATAATACCAGCTCCTTCCTAATCTAAGGTAATTTCTGTGTTCATAATTATATAAATTATTTCTTATAAGGAGATTAGATTTTTAAGTTAAATTCAGAACATGAAGACTCTTAATTCTGTTTTTGTCAGATCCAGAGTATATAATTTATTTTCTCTACATCAACACTCTAATCTAAAGAATTGGGACTATAACTGACCCTTTTTATGTAGTCCTTAAACAGGAAAAACTGTGCTTCATGGTATTTGTAGAATATTTTATCATCTTGTAATGACAGGAATATAAGTTATTTTAGCTATTATACCTTAATATGTATTTATTTATGTGTCTTGCTGGTTTGCAAACAGCAGTTATTCAAAGCTTCTGTATGTAGAATCAGCAATTCTTCAAGAGTAAACTCTTTATAAATTAATTTTATTTGGTCAGGGTACTTGTATCACTCTTTACTTTGTATCCTGAAACAAAAAATAACTCTATTCCCTTTAAAAGCAATACATTGTGTACGTATTAATCAGGAAACAGGTTTTCCTCACTAATACTGTATCCGAATCCTGAAATTACTTTGTATGTAATAGTTTATTCCTTATGGCAAAGCTGCTATTGAACCAGTGCAGGCTACTATTCATATTACCAGAATAAAATAGTTCGTGCAGGAAACACTTAAATCTCAGAGGCCTGTGAGCAAGAAGCAAGAAGCGACGCCGGTTCATGGCTGTGAGAGGTCCCCAGAGCCAGGGAGCTGCTGCTCACCTGCTCCAGCCCGGGCACTCCCCGCGCCTCGCTGTTCCCGATCCTGGCTCCAAACCCAGAGCAACCAGGCGGCAGGAAGGTCCTCCCTACACAAGTAAGCAGCGAGGCCGATGGTTTTTGCTGAGCAATGGCCCCTTCCCCTCACACTTTGAGCCCTACCCGGAGCGCTGAGACCCCGCTCTCCCGCCACCCCACAGAGATGTGCCGGCGCAGCCCCTTTAAGGGGGGCGGGCTCCGCGCCGCGGCCCGGCCGGCTCAGGCGCATTCACTTCCAGGTCGGGGAGGTAAACACGGGGGAAGGGAGGGAGGAGAGAAGGGAAAAAAAAAAAAGGAGAGAGCAGGAGCCCAGCGTCGGGACCGGCTGGCTGGGCGCTCGCCGGCAGCACCCAGCGCCGCGATGGTGAGGGGGCGATGAGGGGCTGGCCGTGGTGGCGGTCAGGGTGGGAGGGAGGGAGGCAGGGAGGCAGGGAAGGAAGGAGGGAGGCAAGGAGATAGGGAAGGAGGGAAGGCTGCCTGCCCGCAGCCCCGGGGTGCCGGACCCGGCGGAGGGAGCGGAGGTGACCCGGGGGGAAGGGGCCTCCATGGCGGCGGCGCTGAGGGGCTGAGGCGACCCGGGGGGGCCCTTGCCGTCCCTCACGCCGGTACCGCGGGCCGGGCCGGGGCAGCCCCGCCGTTGTGTAACCGCGGCGCTGCCGCCCGTTATGTAAAAGGGCGGTCGGACCCGGCGGACGGGAGGGAGGTCGGGAGGTCCGAGCCCTGCCCGGTGCGCTCCGGTGTCCCCGCGGCACCGTGGGGGCGGTGATGGCCGGGCCGGGCTCGCTGCCCTGACCGCCCCTCACAGAGCCCGGAGGGGCCGGGACAGCGGAGCGCGGGCAGAGCCCCTCGGCGTGAGGGCACCACTGCCCGGCCCAGCCTCTGTACCTCGCCAGCCCCTGCCTCCCCCGGTCCGGAGCTCTCCAGCCCTCCGACAGCACCTCGGGAATTGCTTTGTCCAAACAGGAGGAAGCGTGGGCCGTGCTGGGCTCTTCCAGCTCGGAGCTGCCAAAAGAACAGCCTTTCTCTGCTCCAGACAGGCCGGAGCAGAACATATGGGAGCTGTTTGGATTGCTGCTCTGCTCCAGACATGAGTGTGCATATTTACTTCTAAAGGACTAGCAGGAGCTTCCTGGGAGATCTGGTCTCATCCCTTATCGTTAAAGGCTTAATTTTAGGGAATCCCCTAATAAATTTATTTATCGTTATTTTTTAAGTAGGTACTTTTTGTGCCTGCTGTTCTAATCAGTGAACTAGGGCAGAACTTAATTGTTTAACTATGTACTGACCGTTTCTGTGCACCTTTATTGGTGTGGCACTGTGCTTCTCTCCTTAATGGCCTTTTCCGTCCTGTAGTTTGTATTCAATGTGGTGTATTTGTAGGCAGAATTCGTATCTCTCACCTTTTGATCTGCTGGGCTAAGAAAAGCTGGGTTTATTTTCTCTTCCCAGCATATTTTTTCCCCACGAGCATTCTAGGAGCTGTTATGTTTAAATTCAAATGATTCAGGTATCGCTTAACCCAAATATCCTCCTGGGATACTCAGGTGTCTCGAAAATGACCTAATCCTTCCCTATTTTTAACTTGATGCTTCTCCTGACACCTTCTTTGGCTGCTTGACGTTATTTTCTTGTGCTTTAGCAACTCACTCAGATTCTTCTCTCCAGTCATTTCTAACTGAACTTCATTTGAAGTTCTTCATAATAATCTTGAAATACATGGCCTTATTATGTCGTTCTGATGTGGCAGTATTTAATTTTAGACCTCTCGTGATCTCTGGTGGCTTTGTATCACTGGCAACTTCAATCGCACTTGTTGTGCCAGAATAGTTTATGTTAAATTTGAGTTCTGGGCATAATCATTCCTTGACTCTGGTTAACAAATTGCCTACATCTGTTTTATTTCATTTAATTCAATTTAAGTAGGATAATCATAAAGCTTTCTTAGTAACATAAATCATGGAACTGTTTATTTTTCACTGCCTTTCCTTTGTTAGCACTCAGAAGAACTGTGATGGCTGTTGCTTGAGTGCTATTAATCGTTTTAAGAATGCTCATTTTAAGAAAGTAAGTAAAATTTTGGGACTGTGGAGAGGTGGAAAAGAGAAACATGATACAATCCAACACCAAAGGCTGAGGCTCTAAATTCTCTCTTCTTTCCCTGGCAGTATTTTGAGAGAAGTCACTGCCACAAACATTCAGGGACCTGACATGTTTGAGGTTTGCTGTACTGAGCTGGGGATAAAATTTGGGGAGCACATCACAGACGTGGCTCTGCTAGAGCTGAAATTGCTGTTTCTGTCCAATGTTATGTGCTGGTTTGCTGAGGGGGGGAAAAGAACCAACTAAACCAAAAAACTACTTATGAAAAAAACCACCCCTTTGGTTTGTAGTGAATCTGACACACAGAGCCAGTAGGAACTGTGTTTTTCAGGCTGGAGTTGGAAGGATCACCACACATATAGGGAAAAAGGCCACACAACACTGGAATTTAATTTTTTTGCAAAGTTAGATTGTTATAACTGACAGAAAACATCAGTTAAACCTGTTTTTTTTTTTTAGGTACTGTATAGGCAGGTGCTTGCTTGGTGGTGTTTCCCCAAGGGAACAGGATTTTGTTTTGATACACTCAGCCAGTTAATCTAGGCATAATGTTGGGCTTAAGATTCTCTAACTTATTCCAGGTACTTCAACATATCCCCTCAAGCTCTTTTTTTTCTTTTTAACTGCATTTTGAAATATATGCTGAATATATTTTAGTGGTATTTAAAGCTGATTCAGGGGGTTTTGAGGAGAAAGTGTTGGAGGATAATGTTCCTTGTGAAAACCTTTCCATCTGCCCCGGTGTGAGCTCGAAGCTGAGCTGGTAACATCGTGTTGAAGTGGGTTTTGCATTTCAGTTCCCTGGGATTGGGTTACTGTCAAAGGCCAGTAGCCAGGCAGTTTACTGTCCCCCTGGACACTTCTGGTTTGCCTTGGTTATATTAAGCACTTAAAATGTTGTGGGTTTTTTTTTTCTTTTAAATAATTTAAATAAGCCTTAAAAAACCCATCTAAATGCAGTTATTCTCCTTTTTTGTGCTGTTCCATAAGCTACCTGAATTTAGATGTGTCACATTCCTCCTACAACATGTATTCTAGCTAATGAAGGCACCCAGGCTTGCATCATGTAATGCATAATTTTGTGTTCTGTGGAATTTAATTTTATATTTGTTTCCTACCTACTTAATTAATATGATAGGATGAAAGAAACTGTGAGTTTAAGTGGAAGTATCAGAAAATTAAGAGGGCTATGAAAAAGTAAAATAACATAATGAAAGTTCTACTCAAATACTGCTGGATTCTTTATTAAATAAAAAAAAAATTAAATGCTATGCTGCAGTTAACACACCTTTATGGTCTCTAATTAGAGTATTAGAACCAGAATGTGAAGTGAGCTGAAAACAAATGGCAGATTTGTTTTCAAGCTGACATTAAAAAGCACAACTAAAGGAAGGAACCGCTTAAATTCTGACCTTCTGGGAGCCTAAGTACAACTTTAACTGGACAGTGTTCTCTGTAGAATTCTCTTTAAGAGAAGCTGATCTACCAGCTCCCATAAAATGTTTACAGGCTGAGTTCAAGCTGCAGTTGCAGTAGCAGACAGTCTAGGAAATTGTTTTTATGGTGCTTGTCCAGGGACTTTATTAGATACAGATAAAAACATTGTAGCTCTGCCCGGGTTACTTCAGGAGCCTTTGTTAGGGCTGTTTCCTCAGCTTTTGGGCAGCCAGTTGAAGGGACATTACAAATGGCTCCTACAACTGGGATAAGTGGAGTTAATAAAAATGGTCCTCTGTTGTTTGCAAGGGTAACTGATCCCTCCTGCTGGGGTTTGTCCCTTTATTGTCTGGAGATGCCCTGTATGAACTTCTAGAGTGATTATATAAAAATCCAAACATTATTTTTAAATGACAGATTGGCCACTTAGAGGTGCTGGTTGAAAAAAAAAAATAGTTTTATGAGTCATCTGCTAGTGGCCTATCTGCAGGGCTAAAAATTCTCCTTGGAGTTTGCTCACTGATAGATAAAAGTGTTTCAGCTTCTCTGGCAGAAAGGGTGGAGCAGTGCCAGAAGGAATGAGGAGAGCCAGGATTCTGGGTTTGTCACATCTGAGCATCCATGTGGAAACACGAGCTAATGGGAGATGAGGATGTCTTTGCTTCAGTGGGAATGATTTCCATGTACCCCTGAGTAAGGATTCTGATTCTGGGTCGAATCGTCAGCTGTCATACAAATCCTGGGTCTAGGTATTGACTTCAAGTTATAAGGAAAATTTTCCCATTTCCTTTAAAAATGTGCTTTTAAAATAACCAGTTGGCTTTTTTCTTTTTAGAAGTATCTCAGGCATTGTTGTATGTTACAAAAAACCAGAAGGCGTTCACAGTTCCAAATTTTGTCCTTCCTTTCCTTATCAACTTAAGATTGGAGGCAGCCAGAATTGCTGTTTTCTGGTAGTGTGAGCAAGCTGCATCACAAAGGAACTCCTGTTTCTGCAGCAAAAAAAAAAGTAATAATTAAGCTTAAAAAAAAATTAAAATAAAATACTTGGCAAAATTGAGTCAAAGGAGTTGGAAGTTGAATGTCAAAGGCTGCAGAAAGAGTTTACATTTCAATAATTTCAAGGTTTTAGTTCCCAAACCTGTACTTAAGTCTTCAGGAACTATTAAATTGCAGTCTCTCATTGTTGTCAATAAATGATTCATTAAAGATAAACTCCATTCCGTCTTTGCTCTAATGTGGTACCTCCCAGTCTTCAAATATGTGCACCTTATCTTAGAAGACTTATCTCTGTAAACTTACTTGGATTTCTTCTTGGTGACCTTTTATGTATTTCTGTGATCAGCTTATTAGGCAAATGAAGCAAGGGAAGTTAAATGAGCTGGGAAAGAAAGGTGAAATTATCCAGAACTTTCAGTATAAAAGGGAAGCTCCAATTTTTGCTGCAGATGAGCTCTGGCACCAGTTGATGCTGTTATTTTCAATATTGTCTGGGGGAGTATGTACCAGTCACTCGGCCTCCTTTTGTGTGCTGCTGGGGATGATTCACAGTGCTGCAAGTCACTCTTTATGTTGATTAATCTGTGTGCCTGAAAACAGTGGGGTATTATTAGGCATGGAATAGAAAAACCTTTTGAGACTTTTATGTATCAGTGAACAACCTCAAACTCTGAAGGAGAAGGTCAAGTCTATATTCTGCCTTGTCCTTTGTACCCAAGGTTTTGCTAGAGGTGGTTTCCAGGCACAGTGTAAAAAGGAGGAACAGAACTACTGTAATCAATGTTACTTTCCTGCTGCACAAAATTTGGAATTAAACCAGTTCTTTCTGAGTTTCCTTTTTTGATCTGAAGCTCTAGCTGCCCTTTTCAGTATCAAAAATGGCTCCTATACATGAAATTTATCTGCAGTATATGAAATTTATCTGCATTTCTAATACAGCTTAGTAGTAGACTTCTAATATGGGTTGACTTAAATGAAAATTCAAAAGAAATAGTTTAAATCCAGGAGTAAAATTTCAATTTAAAGTATTTTTTTCAGTCTGTCTTGAATGATATATTTCCCTGTAGATTTATTAAATTAGAATTATTTTTCAGCAGTTACTTTTCTTCCTGTGGGAACACAGGCAGGGTTCAAGCCCAGCAGACCTGACTGGATGTGGTTCTGGGGTGACTGGGGAAGGAGCTCCCAGCAGTTGGGCCAGTTGTTTGCCTTTTCCGGGGTCTGTGGGACTGTGATGGGACACATCTCCTTTTGTAATATTTACCAGACACAAAAACCCAACATTTGAGAGTAATGGGAGATTCATAAACAGAGAGAACGATTTGACTAAATCTCCTTTGTTTCACTGTGTTTTGTGTATGACAGGAGGAAGCTTCTCCTTATTCTTTACTTGACATCTGTTTGAATTTCCTGACTGCCAACCTAGAGAAGTTCTGCACAGAAAGGCAAGATGGGACACTGTGCTTGCAGGAGCCGGGGATGTTTCCTCAAGAAGTGGCTGATCGGCTGCTGCAGACGATGGCATTCCATGGTAAAAACACTTATTTGTGGGGCAGCAGTGAAAATATTCTACTGGAACGTGCCACTGCAGTTCTAGTGTATTTTCTAGTAGAATCTGCTGTTGCAGCTGTTAAAACTGTGTTCATTAATCTCCTAATAGAGAATTTTTGTTATTTTTTGGTTTTCCGCAGTTTCAGCAGAATTTTGCATTGCTGTGTAGGTAGTTCTAAATAGGTCCTTTGTCTTGCCTTTATGATTTTAATGTTCCTTTAATTGAACATTCTTTAGTCTTCTTTAGTCACTTCAGAAAAAAAAAAATTGATTCTACTACTTCTCACAACACTCAAATATCCCAGTATCTCCCACAGAGCAGTGCAATTTTCTTTACTGTGTGTCCTTACGATTAAACTAGAAAATAACCTTCTGATTCCTCAAAATAGTTTCTCATCTTTTTGGTCACTTCTACTGAAGTGGAATTGTTTACTCAAAAGCAGACGGTGTCGAGAGTGGTACAAGCACCTTGTGGTGTTCTTACACTTGGTGTCCTGGCCTGTCCTGTTCTCTGTCAGCACATCTCTGAGGGGAGGGCTGCCCTTGTTTGCTTGCTTTTGGCATGATAAAGGGAAATCTGTGCCAATAAAGCTTCTTACAGTGAAAAATGGAATGTGTAGGTTACACTAGAGAAGAGCCATTCCTGGAGATCCTGGAGACTTCTGGTAAAAGATGAGACATGACACTACAAGAATTTCTGTTAACACATCAAGTGCCCTGTCCTACAGATGCAGGTTTGATTGGGTCTTACTGTGCAAATACCAGTGTTCTGGTCAGAAATAACAGGAGAAGGTCCTAGAAAAAGACAAGCTCAAAAAAAAATTCATCTTCAATATACATTGCTTTCTGATAAGTAATTCTTTAGACTAATCCCAAGAAATCAGATTCAAGACAACTGAATTACCAGAAACTTGTTACCAGTGATGATGGCAGTTCCAGGTACCAAAATGTCCCAAACACATGGGGAATGGAAAAACATGCATGGCAGAGTAAGCAGGGCATGGCTGAGCTGGGCCAATGAGGGAGCTTCAATCCCTGGATGAAAAGATGAGCAAAGATGAAGAACTAATTTAGTGGTGCTTGAACCAAACTATTATATTTATTGCTTTTATTTTTTCTACTTGGTACCACTTGTTTCACCCCGTATTTTTGCTTTCCCAGCAAAAGAAGAGTGCCCTGACTACTATGTCAGAAATGCCCAAGCAGTTTGCTCTTTAGAAAGGTCTGCAAATCTTAACATTAATTTGAATTTTCACAGAGGCAATTACTAATTTATGACTTAAATCCAGACTGTAGTGGCAATGATGTTATTTTTCACATCTAATGCATTTTTATTTTGCTTTCTGTGTTAAGTACATTTGAAGACAGGAGATTAAAAACCAGGAGCGCTGACATTTGTAACCCTATAGAGTGAAACCAGAAGGACATGTTCTTCCCACTCCTTCAGTTTGCAGGGTTGTGCAACTGTACCCTTCTAGTGGCTTTTCATAAAGCAGTAAACCTGCTGTAGATAAGATACCACTGTATATTCAGTGCATTTTGGGGAGTTCCATGCAGGGAATTCAGTGGATTGTTTCAGTTAGGATGTTGCCTCTGTGTTGCAAGAAAAGGCTCCTTTATGCATTCTCCTTTCTACAGAGTAAAAAGATAACAATTTCAGAAAAGGATTCTTGCATTTTCCTTTTTACATTGCTGTCTTCCCTCTCCTTCCTGCCCTTTCCTTGCCCTCCTCTTTCTCCTCTTTTAATCACTTCTTAGGTTTCTTTCTCACATTCAGCTTGTTTCTGAGCAACACTCCTACCTTCTTCCTGAGGGATGTATAGAGCTTGATTAGCTTTATTTAGGGTATTGATCCTCCTTATGAATTCAGTCAAATGCTAAATTATTCAGTTAAAGCAGGATGAGATCGGGTCATTGATAGGTGGTGCAATCTTGAGGTTAATGGACCTATGGCCAGGGAAGAATTACACTCAGAACTTTTGAAATTCTGTTTTTAGCACAATTTCGAACAAGTTTGGGGAGAAAATCCAGAAGATGCAGGCAGCAGTGGGATTGGTTTTGAATCATATCCATGTTTTATTTATTGCATGTTCCATGTTCTGAACCAAGCAGGTAATGTGTACGTACTGCTCCGTAAAATATCCATCCTGTTCTTAAACCTGGAATCTTCCAAAAGTGAGGTCATAATCTTAACAGTGGAATCTCAAATACAAGATTTTTTGGGTCGGTGGTGTCATGATCCAAGACAAACTACTTTGTAACTTATTTCTTTACTAACCCTTTGGCTTGTTAAAGTAACAGTGGTGTTCTGTAACACTGGAGCCAAAGAGTGATGCTGTTTTCCAACAGGGCTCCTGAACGATGGGACTGTGGGGATCTTCCGAGGGAACCAGATGCGTTTAAAACGGGCTTGTATCCGGAAAGCCAAGATCTCGGCCGTGGCCTTCCGGAAAGCGTTCTGCCATCACAAGCTGGTGGAGCTGGATGCCACGGGGGTGAACGCAGACATAACAATCACAGACATTATCAGCGGACTGGGCAGCAACAAATGGATCCAGCAGAACCTGCAATGCCTCGTGCTGAACTCCCTGACCCTCTCCCTGGAGGACCCGTACGAGCGGTGTTTCAGCCAGCTGGCGGGGCTGCGCGCGCTGAGCATCACCAACGTGCTCTTCTACAACGAGGACTTGGCCGACGTCGCGTCGCTGCCGAGGCTGGAAAGCCTGGATATATCCAACACCTCCGTCACCGACATCACAGCGCTTCTCACCTGCAAGGACCGGCTCAAGTCCTTGACCATGCACCACCTGAAATGCTTGAAAATGACCACGACCCAGATCCTGGACGTTATCAGAGAACTGAAGTACCTGAACCACCTGGATATCTCGGATGACAAACAGTTCACGTCGGACATAGCCCTTCGCTTGCTGGAACAGAAGGATATCCTGCCTAACCTCGTGTCCTTGGACATTTCTGGCAGAAAACACGTGACAGACAAAGCTGTGGAAGCGTTCATCCAGCAGAGACCCACCATGCAGTTTGTGGGGCTGCTCGCCACCGACGCCGGCTACTCGGAATTCCTGACGGGAGAAGGGAACCTAAAGGTTAAGTGGGGGAATTAATTTCACTGAAAAATTGTGATGTACAGGAAAAATAGACCTAATCACTTGTCACCAATGCATGTGGGTGTTTCAGGAGGAGACTGGAGGTTCACTTTTTTAACTGTTAATTGTAATGACTGACTTTATGTCAAATTCCTATTTAATTCTGACATAAACTGCTAAATTTGCATAATACTATTTTAAGAAGTACCTGTTTTCTTTTCAGTGAGCCTTAGATCCTGATTTAACACACCTAAGAGAGCTGAACTTTGTCTAGTCTGAAGTCATTTAGTAGGATAATATTCTCTGGATTCCAGCACAGTGTCTGACATAATTCAGAGTGTGTAAGAGGTGGAGGTACAATTTGCATAAGCCTCGAGCAATGCATGATTAACACAGCAGGTACAATAAAACTGAATAACTCAGCTGCTCTTACCACCACCACTGCTACTTCCTGGTACAATATTTTACCCACCTTGAGAGGTCTTTTGGTGATGAACATATGAGAAGTCGTTACTTGGGATGGATGACTTCCTCTTCTTGAACAAATCCTAAATTCCTTAGTCCCTTAGGGTGAGGCAGTGTTTGCTGAAGTGCATTTATTTGTCTTTTAGTGCCAGGCACCAAGACATCATTCCCTGTTGTGTAGAATATGGATGCACTTACTGGGGAATGAGCCTGCCCTGTCCCTACTGTGAAGGGGTCAAAATTAATGAAGAAAAGAAGAGATGTTTTAGGCATGTCAGTGGTATATCATCTTCAACTCTGAGTTTTGTTTGCTGCTGTGCCATGAGGATGATGGAAACTGCAGAGGGATTGAGGAAGAGTGCATAATTGTCCATAGTTTAGTCTGTCTCCTGTGTAAGCTGTATTTTGCACTTCAGTTTTCAAATTTAGAATGCTCTTGTATAGGCAAGTGAAGCAATAGCTACACAATTTAATTTTTTTTTCCCCTAAAACTTTTGAAATTTGTTACTGGCCGGGTCTCTGGAGTACTTGGTTGTCACAGCAAGAGCAAAGTGTATGAATGTTGAAATGGCTGGTTGGAAAAAGCAAGTTCCTCTTTGGTGTGATGATGTACAGCATCAGGAAGTTATACCTCATGTTTGGTATAAAATAATTCAGTGTAATCCTCCTACTGAGAATACATGCTTCAGAGAATTGTCTGTGCTGTGAAAAGGCAGGAAAGAAGAAGTTTCTAGTAAGGTGACAATCCCAATGGACTTGTAGCAGTGTAGTTAACAAAAGGCAGTTTGCATTTTATTTTTCTTTTTTCCTTGAGACATAGTTGTCAAGAAGAGACTGTGGGCTGTGATTGTTTTTATTTCTTTTTTTCTTTTTTTTTTTTGTGACCTAAATTCATTAGTAACTCTCCTGAAATATTCAGCTGCTTAGTCTAGATGCTGCTAAAGAATAAACAGGACACAGCACTAATGGAAAGAGCAGAGGTAAAATATTACTGTCTTTACAGCAGTCCAGTGAAATTTGATTATGAACACCAGGCAGATATTATAGTTAAGAACATGAAGCCAAGTGGAAATACTTCATGGAGGGGATAACTGGCTGCAGAACATGTCAGGAAATACAACTGCCCTTCTAATCAGTAGAGAATGTAAAACAAAATCCAAGATGGTTTCAGTTCTCTCAAGGCTCTAATATATTTATGACCTCACAAGTTTCAAAAAATATGTCTATAAAATAGAGGATGTACAGAATGGGACACTTCAATCTATGAACCTTTACTTTCCTGTATGTGGCGTGTTAAGGAGGACAAGTTTTGCCCTAGGAACTCTGAGACAAAGTGATTGCAGCAATGAGTCATTAAACAGTAGGGCTGAGGAACAAACCATCCACAGTTATACAACTCACAGTTATAAGTAGATATAGTTAAACAGAGAAGATAGCAGACTGGGCAGTGAAAAAAATTGCAACCAGTTGCTGATTTAATATTCTGAACTTAAAGGTCCTGTTAGTCAACAGCTCAGCTTCTAATGCAGTCTTTGCCCAACTTAGTTCATTGGTTTTCACATGTTTTTCAAGTCTGGTTTTAAGAATTACTTCTTTTGCAGGGAGCATGAGTTAGTTCTCTGACATGGTGCTGGAAAGCCTTTGCTGCAGATACAGTTTATAAGAAACTTGATGCAGACAAATAATGGATTTCTTTTTATTATTATTATTGCTGGAACTAGAACACAAATCCAAAAAATTGCAGCTAAAACACCATCATCAGTTTATCAGCTGCATTGACAGAGCACTCAGTGACAAACGGTGCTTGCAGCCATTTGGTGCATCATACACAGCTTTTGTTAGGGGTGAAGTGCTACTTTTACTTAGTGGTTTTATACAGTTCTGCTTAAAGACAAAACTGAGGCCTATTTTTAGCTTACAGTGTGGCTTCTTTATGGAGAATGTTTGCAGATTGTATAGTTCTGGATTAATATCCAAAGTTAAAGCAATCCAGAATATCCCTGCCTTTGAAACTGCAGCTTTGCACTTTTTGACAACGGAGTTTCTAAAGTACAATGATGACATCTTGAACTAAAGATTATTTCTGTGTTCCCAGGTGTCAGGAGAAGCAAATGAAACTCAGATTTCTGAAGCACTGAAGCGTTACAGTGAACGGGCCTTCTTCGTGAGGGAAGCTCTTTTTCATTTATTCAGCCTGACACACGTCATGGAAAAAACAAAGCCTGAAATTTTAAAGGTAAGGTTATATAGTTTTGATGATTGTCATGCATTGTCCCTTAAACTGAGCTCACCCCCAGAATCCTGGTATGAATTATTTTATAAACTTTCACATTTTCGGTTGTGTTTGTTAAGATTAAAATGGTAATGTTAGATAAAAATTAAAGAGCTGTTTAAACAGTAGTGATGTAGAAGATGCTCTGTAGCATTTCATGGTAGGTAAAATGGATCTGGACTCATGTATAGTATCTAAATTAATTTTTTCGCATAACATTTAATATGATATGAAGAAGTTTTCTTTATATGCTGAATTCTGTCAGTAGAACATAATTGGGTCAAATCAAAGGTCTGTCTAGTCTCAGTCACCAGACACAACGTGCCTTCTGCTGATGCTCACAAACAGTAATAATAAGGAATAAGTAATAATAAGTGACAGTTTTCTCCACTGTCACCTTCCAGTGTGACAGCAAGTGCGTAAATATCATTAGTGTTCTATATTGGGCTCTATTTTGCAGCCTAGAAACTTCCTTAGAAATCCATTCTAGGATTGGCTTTCCATGTCTGCAACACCAGAAGTGGTTGATTTTTGCTGTGGTAAAAAGAAGCATCAGTAGGACACATGATTTCTGTTTTTCCTGTCCTCTTTGGTGTTGAACAGGTGGCCTTGAACTTGCTGACCTCAATATCAAAAAGACTTTGTCAATAAATAATCAACAAGAAAAATATTCCTAGGTGGGATCACAATCAACCTACATAGCCAAAAACCATTCAGGAAGGAGCTGCTAGTAATCCATTCTGACCTAGCAGCTTAGGGTGGGATTTGAAACTGCTCAGCACCAAACAAGCCACCACATTGTTACCATTGTACTGCAGAGATTCTGTCCTCCCTCATTCACCTCTGAAAGGTTTGGTGATTTTTATCCCAGTGTGGAAAGCAAACCCTGGATCTTTCTAGGAATTTCTTCCATTCCATGCAGCTTCTCTTTTGAGAGGTTGCTGCAAGCTGTGCAAAAGGACTTGGAGCATTAGAAGTTGTCAGCTCTGAATCACTGAACAGAAGGAAGTGTTCCTCCTGGGAATTGAAATCCCGCCAGATGGATTTCTCACTGAAGCGAAAGGGAGGCAAAAACTGGAAGCTGTGTCAGTGCTGTGGCCTCGAGCAGCAGCAGGTTGTTCTTGGGATCTGTGTGCACACGTGTAAGTAACTGAGGTGGGCTGGACTCTTGTGTTTCAGCTGGTGGTGATCGGGATGAGGAATCACCCCCTGAACCTGCCCGTGCAGTTGGCAGCCAGTGCGTGTGTGTTTAACCTGACCAAGCAGGACCTGGCAGCGGGAATGCCCGTGCGGCTCCTGGCTGACGTCACTCACTTGCTCCTGAAGGCCATGGAGCACTTCCCAAACCATCAGCAGGTAAAAGACAAAATTCCTTGGTTTTCTGTAGGATTCTCTGTCTTGGGGATCTTAACAAAAAGCTTCTCTACATCTCATGACCTCGTGGAAACATGTTTAATGATTCACAGTAAGAAAGTGTTCTGAAATATGTATGTTTCTGATGAAGGAATTCTGTTTCATTTCTCAGCTGCAAAAGAATTGCCTTCTTTCACTATGCAGTGACAGAATCCTTCAGGATGTTCCATTTAACAGGCAAGTTAAAATGATGTTAAGTGTAGCATTGTGGAATATTTTTCTTTCTTCCTTCAGAAGCTTTGTTTCTGGTCTCAGTTTTGGTCAGTTTAAATCATTCCATGGTGCTGAATTTACCTGGCCTATGTCATTTTAGGCCTGTTGACCCAAACATATACCATTGACTGTAAGTCTGAAAAAATCCTTTAGTATACAGGTATTTTTTACTTCAGCTGGTCTATCACTGATGGCACGTAAAAAAGTCAGGATTTCTATGGGAATTTTCCATGGGATTGCTTTTTGCAGTCATTTTTCTACTTAAATGTTTTATCCAGGTGCTTTCAAGTGTGTTCACCTGATATTTCAGAAGATTGTGCCAAATTTTTCTTCCTTCTTTGGAAACCATTCCTGTGTACTTTAATATATAATTAGAAGTAAGAGACAGTAAGCAAACAGCTCAAAGCTGGCAGAGGCTCATGGAATACCTGCAGTTTGACTGTATTTCTACCTTTTCTGGTATGGGGCATACTGCTTCCAGTTTCTGTTGTCTGTGTACACCTTTATTTTACCAAGACTTACGAAAATTACTTTTATTTTAAACTTCCAGGTTTGAAGCAGCCAAACTTGTTATGCAGTGGCTGTGTAACCATGAAGATCAAAACATGCAAAGGATGGCTGTAGCCATAATTTCCATTCTTGCTGCAAAGGTATGAAATTTTAAGCTTTGAGATGATAGGATAGTATTTCTAAAGTCTAAAAAATTGTTGATATGGTTTTGTTTGTTTACAGCTTTCAACAGAGCAGACAGCTCAACTTGGTGCAGAACTCTTCATTGTTAGGGTAAGTCAGATACTTCCCATCCTCTCCAGCTTTTCCTGCTTCCAGTATTCCTGAGATACAAAGCAAACATAAGGAGATAATCTGTTTTTAGAGTACTGCCTTGTGTTTATGGGAGAAGGTAAAAGCCTGGAGCTTTGGTTAGAGGTGATAGCAGAGCCAGTGGCAGGGAGATGAATTAGCATGGATGAAGAGGAGCTAAAGAGGAAAAATTTGACACAATGAATACAAAGTGAAATAGCAAGATTTCTCTTGATTTGAAATCCACTGTGTCAGGTGAAAGGTGCTCAGAGAAAGAATATTTGAAGCAAATGGTTCGTGCAGTCGATGTTCATGTGGGGTCCAGAGTTCTGTGGGTGGCTTTGTGCCATCCACAGTAGTGCTACACATGTAATTACTGTGGAAACAAAGGAATTCCTTTAAAAGGCAACCATGTTCAGAGGGGAAAGTTTAATAGCTGTTTTATTTTGTATAGTTTGACCCTAAACATGTAGATATTTACTCTGCATGTAAATGCCAGCTGTGCATTACCCTGCTTGGTGCAGAAGCAGCAGAGGAGCCAGTACATGTTTCAATACACAGTCATAACTGGGATTTCTTGATTTTTATTTTTCCAGCAACTTCTACAAATAGTTAAACAGAAAACAAATCAGAATCTTGTAGATACAACCCTCAAGTTCACACTGAGTGCACTTTGGAACCTCACTGATGAATCTCCAACAACGTGTCGGCACTTCATTGAAAATCAAGGGCTAGAGCTTTTCATGAGAGTCTTGGAGGTGAGGAGTGCAATGGTGGTGGTGGATTGTCAACACAGAGTTCTAATTAGTATTGTTCCAATAATAAACATAAATGGTTACCTGTTGTTTGTCTTTTTTTTTACAGTCTTTTCCATCTGAATCATCCATCCAGCAGAAAGTTCTTGGACTTCTGGTGAGATGAAAAAGAAAATCTGAAACACATACTTCTAAAATTTAACTTTGAAAGTGGTTTTTTTAACCCTGTGTTAATCTGAAAAATTCCCTAATATTTTTAAGTTCTTTAATTTTTATAATTATTCATAATTGATGTGGTTTTGGACTGTTTTATGAATTTGTCAAAAGTTATATTGAAATTGATGGTTACAGTAAATGAAAGTACAGTGAGTGAGGCTTCACACGAGTCCAAATGCAACAAGTAGGTTAATAGTGGAATTCAAAATTGTGCACTGCTGAAGTTTACTGAAATTGTGTTTGAGAATGTTAAAATCAGCCTTTAATTTAGTGTAATCTGCATGTTAATGGCCTAAAATTACTTATGAGAAAACTCCTTTTTTAAAAGAAATCCCTGCAGTAGGCTGGAAAAATTTTCAAAAGCAGAAGTAGTATTTTGGCCCGTGATGGTCACCTGGATGTATGAAGAGCTCCTCCAGGTGTTTATATATGTTTGCTGACACAATGGAACTAAAGTTGATGTTTATCTCCCCCACACCATATTCTTTTCTTGATATTCTCTCTCTCTCTTTTTTTCTTTTTCCCCTTCCAGAACAACATAGCTGAAGTTAAAGAACTCCATTCTGAACTGATGTGGAAGGACTTTATAGACCACATCAGTAAATTGTTGCACAGTGTGGAGGTGGAAGTGAGCTACTTTGCAGCAGGGATTATTGCTCACCTGATATCTCGGGGGGAGCAGGCCTGGACGCTGAGTCGCAGCCAGAGGACGTCTCTCCTTGAGCAGCTGGTACAGAAATGATGGTGAATTTTGTCCTACTCTCTTAGAGTTTTCTCGATGTTTGTATTTAACAGTCAGTGTTCTCGGTTCTGTGTTTTGCAGCATTCTGCCATTTTGAATTGGCCAACCCCAGAGTGTGAGATGGTGGCTTACAGGTAACTACTGTCTTGATCTAGAGTTTGGAAAATGAACTCAACTAGATTTAAAACTTATTCCCAAAGCAGAGTGAGCTGCCAGTCAGACATGGTTTCATCCAGTGGAAAAATACCTATTGGCTACAAATAGGCAGTGGGCTAATTTTCCTTCTGTGACCAAAGAAGGTTAGGGGCTGCTGTAACATAAAAGTCTGCTGCTTTTCTGTTAAAGGTATTCAGCTGCAGGCCTAAAAGACTTCACCTTGCAGGTTGATCTCTGTGTCTGTCTTGGCTCTCACCAGCTCAGCGCTGTCTGTCCCAGGTGGGAAACTTAAGGCCAAAAAGTACAATTAGATAATTGCTGGAGATCTAATACTTACATTTTCCACTGCTTTTACTCCTGTTTTTAAGGAGCAGGAGGCATCCAGATCTTATGGTAAACACTTAGCACATATCCATTATGTCTAGTTTTTGCTAATAACTGTCTTAAACTAGAGTTTTAGATGCAGCAGGCCAGTCTCTTCATAAATATCTCTCCCAGTTAACCTATAGATAACATGTGACCTCTGAAATAATGATACCTGCTAGCAAAGCAAGTAGCTGTTTCTCTCCTCTTTTTTTTAATAGGTCTTTCAATCCGTTTTTTCCACTGCTTGGCTGTTTCATGACACCTGGTGTCCAGTTGTGGGCAGTGTGGGCCATGCAACACGTCTGCAGCAAAAATCGTACGTATTGAGACCTTATTGCCCTTAAAATTCTTATTTCTTGACATCTTCACTAACATGAAGTGGGAAAAAAATAAGAATTCCTTGGGTATTCGCTCCTAATCCTCTGGAGAAGACACTTTTGGGCCTTGACTAAATGGGGCAGAAAAAGAAAGTCCTAAAAGTTCCTTACATCCTTTTTATTTACTGGAATTTTGCTGTTAGGTGCACAGTATTAGTTCCAAAATGTGGATGTGTTAAGATCAACTACATTTTTTGCTTACACAGGTGTTTTTATTCAGAAATGTAACTATTAGTAATGGGCAACAGATTTCTTTAAAGTTAAGAACAATGCCCATAGCAGGTGTCACTGTCTCACTGTGGAAACAGAAGTGGCTGGGTAATCCTGCCCTAATCGCCTTTGGCAGTAACTTGCTGGGACAAAAGGGTCAGTTCCTTAATCCATCCTTCCCATCTACAAAATGGAACCACCAATGTCTAGTTTGTAAAGTGATTTAGTTTGTAAAATGATTCGAGAGCATTTGATAGAAGTGTTGGGAAAGGAAATAAATTTCCCAACCATATCTAAATGTAAGAGTGGAAAAACACTCCTGGCGTTTAATCTGGGGTTTTTTTTTGTTGTTCTTCTGACATAAATTTTTTCCATGAATATGTGTATATAAAGCAGCTTTCCTCTAAAGTACTAAAAGTGTTTTCTGTGCCAGTTTTTAATCTTCTTGACAGCAGTACATCTAGGCTTGTTTATCCCTGCCCCATAAATCACTGCTTCTGCAGTGATAAGGCATCTATTCAGGACCAACCAATAACATGGCAAAATATATATGTGCACATAGAATACTGTTTGCTGCTCTTTATAGAGCTCATAAATATAATGATTCCTGCTCCCAGGCTGCTGCCCAGAAATCTGAGAGGGCTCTTCATAGTGAAGCAGGACTGTTCTGACAAGCTGTTTCACTGCTCAGACTCTGCATAACACATTTTGATTAAGACCCTGTCATTTCCCTCTGTCCTTTAGTCCTGTTAACTTGTTACTGTCCTCTTTGTTCTATTTATTTGTAATGTTTATTTTGTGCTGCCATAACCTCTGAGCTTTCAACATGCCACAGGAGTTTGTGTTGGCATAGTCCTGATTGGAGATGGAGGCAGTTCCTCAAGTTTACTTCTGATGGTAATTGATGCCAGAAGCTTCTGCACAAAGTTGCAGAGAAGCCAAATGTTTGGTAGCAAACATTTCCCTACTCTGAGGGAAAATGTGTTTAATTCTGAAATAAGAAGATTTATTTTGGGGGAAAATCTTCAGCTGTTGGTACTTGGCTCCAAGGAAGCTTTTTCTCCTGGAGAGGAGATGCATTTTATTTTGACCTGCTCTTATAGATGAGGCTGGAAAGTAATCTGGAATTAATGGGGTTTTAATTTTTTCTTGTTTATTTTTTCTCCTCAATGAGCTGACTTCACTAAAATGTCAGTAGCACTGCAGTAAATGTGATCCCCAGTGAAATGCTGAACGTCACACTTCAACAACTCCGGTGTTGCATCACAGGAATGAATGGGGAAGTTGGGCCTGACTGAGGCCTGTGGGTTGCATTACAGTCATCCTGACCTTTCCATAACCACCCCTGAGCCTGCACATTACAGTCACCATGCAGCTCTTTTTATAGCTCTTCCCTGCTCAGAGACACCAGAGCTGCTGGAGGTACACTTGCAACTTTTTGAAAGCAACGGTGAAAATGGAAGAAACCCCCAGAAAGGCATTTGTAGCAACTTGTAACGAGTTAAAGGCCACCATTAATAGTATTTGGCAAAGTGTATTTGAAGGAATCAGTTTGTATTCACTCCACAAGCCTGTACAAATGCTGTGGTGTATCTGACACTGTGTTTTGGTAACTGTTCTGTACTGAAGTTTTTGGTAAAGGTGCTACATTCACCTGGATGCTCATAGACACTACAGTACTTCTTATTCCCATTTCTTATAATTGTATTTGTGCATTTTAAATGCCTGCAGAGGAGGTGGGGGAAGAGAGAATCCCGTGCACATCACAGGGCACTTTCCAGTCAGCTGAGACAGACTTGGTAACAGACCTCATTACAATCTGAGTCCTGTCCAAGTAACTCCTGTTGTGTTGTCACTTGATTAAGTACCAGTGCACTTCTGTGGACACTTTAGGGAGTGTCCTAAATGTTGCCTGGAGACAAAAGTGGATTTGATTCAGTGTTTACAGTATCTGCTACCTTTACCCTAGATAATTCTGTTTTTAATTCCCTTTTTATAATCTCGTTACAGCTGCCAGATACTGCAGCATGTTAATTGAAGAAGGTGGTTTACAGCATTTGTACAACATCAAGGAAAACGTCCAGACCGATCCCCATGTCCAAAGGATCGCCATTGCCATCCTGGACAGTTTAGAAAAACACATTATGCGTCACGGGAGACCCCCACCGTGTAGGAAACAGCAACAGACCAAACCAAACTGAGAGCTGCAGGTAGAGGAGTGTAAAGTATTGTCTCTGTAATAATCCCTTCTGATGTGTGTGTAGTTGGAGTAACTTGTAATATATTGGTCACCATTAAAGTGATTTGCCAGTAACTGTGGTACCCAAAACCATGTGTGGAAACCTTTGCCGATCGTCAGCTTTGATGGCAACCACTTGTGTGACTTGTCAAGGGTCAGGCTTGAGCTGGTCATGAGGTGGGGTTTAGTGCTGGCTACCAGGAGATGGGACTTGTACAGATCAATATGCACATCTGAAAACAAGGCTTGAAGGAATATCCTGTTTTGTGGGAAAAAGTTATTCCATCCCTGTGACTGCTCTTCATAACACTGCTCACCAGTTTGGTGTTTGAATAGAACTGTGTGTGGTTGTGAGATCAACACTCCTACAGACTGAACCACAAGTCTGTGCATGCAGGTTCCAGTGAGACTTGTAACTAAGGCGACCAAAATGTCCGTTGTCTCATAACCCTTCTAGACACAAATGGGGTCTTCAGCTTCCTTTTCCTTTGGCCTGCAAGCCACGCTCTGTTGTTTTCCTTACTGCTGGAACAAAGCCTCTTTGCAGTTCATTTCTCCAGTCCTCCCTGCTCTTAGCAAGGTGGGCACCACATCACGTTCAGGGAAAGGGGAAACCCACTCAAGTAAAGCAGTAGAAACAGGACTAAAGTGAAACAGTACTTAAAAGGATGAACTCAGTTTGAGATTTTAAACTTTATAACAAGAAGGGAGTTTTGTTGTTGTTGTGTGACTACTTTTGGTTGTGTGTGATATAATTTTGTTTTTAGAATACTTGAGAATGGTGAAAGGAGAAGGCTCATGAGAGCAAAATACTGACTTGACTTCCTCATGAAGGGGATTGCATGTACTCGGCAGAGGCCCAGGATATTTGGTCACCTTATTTATAAGAGGCTAATGATTGCTCTCGTGTTCTGTAAATACTCAGTCAGTATTGTGCAGTGAATTATATTTCCAGGTCATCGCAGTGAGTGTAAAATACTCCCGGTGTTCTATGTAAACCCTGTGTCAATGGCATTGTTTTGTGGAGTGTGACATTTTACATAAAGATGCTAATTGTAACAACTTGTTCCTTTTTTGGTTCCCTATGGGTTACAAATGATGTGTCCAATGAAACATATTGCACAGCATACAGATGCCTGATACAATGCAGGTGATGGAAGCGAACTGCATGTCCATTCAAATTCAGTTTAATTTCAGGTATTGTTTTGGTTTATCTGCTTAGTGTCTGTATTTCCATGGCAGCAGATTGATAGTCAGAGATTCTTCTGTAAATATTTGGGAATTGAATTTAAAAAGAGAACTTACATTTGGTAGCTTTTAAGCAGGGATGGCTTCTTCATGATGACCATATTTTAGTATTTTTAACTCCTTCCTTCTCCCAGCTCCTGTCCTTCAAATAAAAACATCACCTCTAATCTTGTGTATTTCAGCAACTCCAAAAGGTGCTCATCCAGTAATTTAATCAGTGTTGTCTAATTGTTTTTTGTACAAAAGTATAATTTGGCTATAATTTCATGTGTGTATCTGGTTATGTACAGTTTTCTCAGTTTAGACAGAAATTCAACTGGCTGTAGCTTTGAATTATGAAGGTGGTTTAAAAATTAAAAACAGCCTACAAAGCTTTTACCCCCCACCCTCCTGAGATGTCTGCTATGGGACTTCTATAGAGTTTCCATTACATGGAGTGGAACACAAAACTTGTTAAAATTGGTGTTAATAGAATAAATATAAATCAATTGCTACAAGATTTTAAAATAAAGATGACAACTCTCCTTACAGTACTGTATTTTCCTAACAACAGGAGAACTTGCTGAAGCATCTCAACTAAAACTGTGCAGAAGAGGTACTACTCCCTGCAGCACAAAGCGCAAGTGATAATGGCATCAGGCCACAGGCCTGGAAGACGTGTCACTTCATGAAGTTCTGCAACCAGCAAGCAGAGAGATTCTAAATGATTTGTCATACCCTTTTTCTTTTGCTCCTACACATTTCAGGCAAACTGTGAGCAGAATTCTTTCAAGCTGAAAAATAGAAATTACTACAAGGTATAAATCCACTAAATTTACTTGTATGTGCCACTTACAGAAAGGCCTCTTCACATTCCCGTGCAGCTTCTGGAGTTTCTGCCAGGGTACAGCAATTCTGGAAGCAACTTTTAAACTCTTGTATTCCACCTCTAGCATCTTTTGTGAAGGCTGAAGATCCTGACTCTGCTTTATCTTTTCAGATCTTTACATAGAAAACTTGTACGTGTATAATTTGTTAAGGTGACCTCACCCACAGAATTGTTGGGGTAACTTTTGGCACAAGTGAAACTGTGGTTTGCTTAGAGACAATCATAGCATGAAGTGACAGCCAGTTCCAATGTGGTAAGCCACACTTTGTAAGTATATTTTGATAACCTAACCTGTAAAGTATTTACTAACACCACATTTGTTTCCTAATCTACTTTTGTTTGAAAGCTCCAGTCTAAGGAAGTAAGCACTTAATAAGTTGTCTTTCTCTTCAGTGTTTGTTTTTCCTTACTGTGTTTAGATGCAGTATGTTTTCTGCCTTTTTTTTTTTTTTTTTTTTTTTTTTTTTTTTTTTTTTTTTTTTTTTTTTTTTTTTTTTTTTTTTTTTTTTTTTTTTTTTTTTTTTTTTTTTTTTTTTTTTTTTTTTTTTTTTTTTTAAATTTCTTTATGGTGAGCCAAACTTCTCCATATTCCTTATTTGGCATCTGTGTGAGAGCAGCACTGACTCAAGATATACGTGCTCCAAGGGTCAGGTGTACACAGGTAAATTTTTATTGTAAGATTCGTACAGAAAAATGATCCAGTGGGATATTCAGCAATGCAGTCCAAGGCAAGGCGTTAAGTGCACAGAATGGTGGCATAAATATCATCCCCAAGAAATCAGTGGGTGCTCTTGAGTCCTCCTTTACTTTCCAAAGCTCAAGGGGAAGGCAGGAAGTGTTATTTGCCGATGAAGCGCGGGGGTCGTTTCTCCCTGAAGGCAGCCATCCCTTCCTGACGGTCTCTTGTGGGAATATTCTACATTAAAAAGCAAAGCAAAGCAAATGTTTTTCATTGACAAGTAGATGTGCTTTTAAGTCCTGGCTAATTTGGCAGTAGTGGTGTAAGACTAAGATTGCTTTTCTTTCAATGATATGTTAAGTCCCACCTTCTACATTTTTGCAATTAGGAAAATAGAGATTGGGCTGTAGAGTAACTCCCAAACAAAGCATTTAAGACAAAGACCATAGAACTATACAGGAAAATGGTTTTCCCTAAACTTAATGCTTTACCATCTTAAAATACCCTGAGAGGCACATTATATTGTAATATAATAATATACTATATTGTTCCATTAACTTAGAAAAGGTGCGTGCTCTCAAAACTTGGCACAAAGAAGATTCCTCACAGGAGGAATAATTTTTAATAAAACCAAAACCACTTGTAAAGCTCATCCTATAATTAAAATACAGTTGTTCCTTGGAGGAATGAAGTGTGAAGGTGACCTACCTGGGCATAGCACATCCCCTCAATAGCCATCCCTGATGCGATGTCGACCTGGGGATGAGAGGGAAGGGTGACATTTGTCTGAGGTACAGCCCACAAAGCTTCTTCACAGTTCTCAAATCAATGAACAGTCACTTGTAGTACAGAGTGACCTCCACTCCTGCATTAGAACTGCAGTGCTAGTGGCTAGAAAAGAAGTTCTGCCCTATTAGTTTTATCTTTAAAGAAAATCTTTAAAACCTCTGAAATGGCTTTAAATGCCTGGTCTAAACATGCATTATAACTCATCTGTTCTGAACATTTTTAGTGTAGTAATTTGTAAGAGCTGCTCATTTGCTTTATTCACCTCAGTATTTATAAAAAAAAATTATTACCTCCATTCCTCTGTTTATTGCTAGTTTTCCCATTTTCACAGCAAATGGAGCCTTTATTAAAAAAAAAATAAACATTTAAAATAATTAAAGGCACATTCATTCATAATAGAGGAATTGTTATGTCATTATCCTAGCTCCAAATGACCTTCTAGTCTACAACAATTTGCAGTAAGTTAGCAAGTAATTAAAAAAAATAATTGGTGTTTCTGCAGTTCCCATATGTACATGGTGCAAGGTTTCAGTGTCCCCCCCAGGGCTGCATGACTGCAGCTGGGAGTAAAGGTGTCCTGGGCCTTAACCAGCTGGATGCTAATGCTTGTTCCTACAGAAACTGCATTCACAATGGAGAGTTAAGAGACTTAAACATCAGGGACCAAGACTTCAGTATTTCACAGGAAGGAATTTCAGTTGTTGTTTGCTCTCTCTCCAGTGAAGCACAAACGCTGTCCTTACAATGCCCGCATGAACACCACACCTACCTGGGGCAGGATTTCTTTGGCCAAAGCCAGCGCTCTCTGGTAAGCTGCATCTCCCTCGCTGTTCTGGGGCACAGAGTGATTTACCAAGCCCATGGACAAGGCCTGTTGTCCATCAATCTGTCTGCCAGTGAAAATGAGTTCCTTTGCGAGACCTATTCCGACACATCTGGGCAGGCGCTGGGTTCCACCTTAGGGCAACAGTGAAAACACCATTTCCCATTTCTGAGAAATGCCCACTAGTATTCTGTCTCCTTATAAAACCAGGAGGTGTAAAAAATAAAGGCATCATATAACTCCTAAGCTGACTATATCAACATTTTAAAAGGCATCTGAAAGGCTTTAGCATCCTTTTTGAGTATTATGGTAAACAAGAAAAGGTGTAAAGGGACCTTCCTAAATTCAGAGCAAGTCTGAGGCAGGGTTTGGGACAGAACTCTTGATTCCTAGATCTCCTGCATCACTGTAAGATGCTTCTTCTAATTTACATTCAAAACATTCCAAGTGCTCTAATGGCAAAATATTTACTGTACAGCTGGGAAAGTGAGACTGAAGATTTAGTGAAGGTCACCTGCTCCAGGAAGAAGTCCTCGTGTGGTCTCAATAAGGCCCATTTTAGCTGATGAAGCTATTAAAAAAATAAAGCCAGGTTAGTTTCTTTTTGATTTGTATAAGTTTTCCATACTGAACTGACTGATAAGACTACAAACTGGCACTCCATTTCTCCATGTAGCCAGAAAGTGAGTCCTACAGTGCTTCATCAGTGTCCATCTCAAGTGCCAAGAGGGATGTGTGATACGGCTGCTTACCCCAATGTAGCAATTGTAGCTAGAGCAATGAACCTTGTGTCCATACTAGATAAAATGTCATGGATAGAAGCACAGAAACAGAAAATCTTCCAGTCCAAACTGATTGAAATTGTGAAGATTAGATCTAGCCAGAGTGCTGATCCAGAATTACATTCCAATAACTGTTTAATTCTACTAGTAAAGTTTTCTAAAGGAATCATAATCTTACCTAAAAATAGGCTTTACTTTTTAAGCATGGAAACCGCTTTCCCAATAGTAACTAAATGTCACAATTTCTGAACAAATGCTTCCTCATTTCCTAAACTGTTTTAAGTTCCTCTCAAGCTTCTGGATTCCATTAACATTCCATTCTCAAGCATGTAAATTCTCTTTAAGATCCAGTCACTGATTGCAGGACGATTCCTACATGGAGCAACACCAACCTGCCACTCGAAGGTCACAGGCCAAGGCCAGTTCCAGGCCCCCTCCCAGTGCGTAGCCATCGATGGCAGCGATCGTGGGCACAGGCAGGGCAGCTGCAGGACACAGCACAGGTTACACACTTGTGTTCCACAGGTTCTCTTCTGGAAATTTAAATCCTTAAACTCTAAAGCTTTTAGTTGAAAATTGCCCAAGAACTCATTTTCTACTGCAACACAAAACGGTGAACTGTTGTCTCCTTGCAAACTTATCATGTGAATGTCCAGCTGCTGCAGTTCAACAGCCAGAGCAAAGATGCCATCCCAAGTCACTGTCACAAGGATCACTTTTTCTGGTGCTTTTGTCAGCCAAGGCTCCTGAACTTGGTAAACACTGTTGTTACCTCACAGTTGAGCAACATGAGGTATCTAGAGATTAGCTGCTTGATACCTTTCCAAGTACTGTGGGAGCTGGATGTGAATGTCAGACATGTGTTAGTTCTGTGCTGTAACCACCCCTCCCTGACTGCTCCTGTGGGGTTTTTAATTACTGCAACTCTGACTGGTATTTTAGTCAGCTTTCACGTTGGTATTTCTCTCTAGTGAGAGCAGAGTAATTCATAAATAGGGGAAGAAAAGCAATTGCAGGAGTCCATATTTCTCTTGCAAAAAAAAATAGAGGGAGTAGAGGAGTTGTAGATACAAACCCAAACATTCCACAAATCCATTTAGCAAATCCATTCAGAGATTCCAATCCATGTTGTTAGGACATTGCCATATCATGAGAGTTTCTGAGCATGTACTGGAAGTGGCCCAACCAGCAAGCTCACGTTGTCCAGCACTGCCTCCCTGGGATTCCACAGAACTGGATAGAAATGCTTTGCCATAGCAGGTATTTTATTTATCACACCCACGTGTGTGCACTGCTCTTGTTGTGGGTAAGGCAGTACTGAAATGCATCTTGTCCTGGGAGTGGCAGCAGGAGAGTTGGTATTTAACCAGGTCTTTGCTTCAGGCATAAGCTGGAATCATTTGGCAAGTGACTCCTACATGGATAACCTGCTGGTTATCCCCTCCAACAGCACGTTTCACAACAGGTGGTCTAGGATAACTTTTCCAACTGAAATAATCCTTTACCTATTTCATCCATGAGATTTCTCAGCCTTCTAACAAACAGTCCAACTTCTGCATCATCCATCTTTGCACGTTCCTTTAGGTCTGCTCCTAAATAAGGGAGGGAAAGGTTAGAATCCAGGAAAAGGCATCCAAACTGTGCTTCTTCCTGTCCCTCTCGGAGGACAGACCATTTCATTTCAGAAGTCTTGAAATCCAGCATTCTACAGAGGTTAAGTAAGGTCAGAGGAAGTCAGAGTGGACACTTGGGCTGCAGCAGTGGCAGATGCTCCTCTGTGCCCTTTCCACAGATTCCACAGAGGAACACCAACCAGTGTACTTAAGGATGACAATCCATAAAACTGGAAACAATAACTCCAATACCAGAGCACATGTGCTTGAAGAAATAGAAAACAAATAGTGGCACCATGCAGCCTGTGTGGCTCACTCTGTCACACACATCTTCATCATGGAAGCCATGAGACAGACAGGTGAGAGAACAATGTGGGTCTTATTTGCCACACAAAAAATTGCCTGTTTTTCTTTTAGCACACATTTTCTGCTTGATCTGATCACAGCCCCGAGAGCCATCGTGTTTTTTGAGCATAGTTTGCAGAGCCTTTGTTACTTACCTGCACAAAAGACACCTTTCACCTGGCTCTTGAACACCACCACACGCACCTTCTCATCGAAGCGGAGCTGCTCCAGGGCACTGAACAGCTACGAGGGAGGGAGGGCACACAAGGGGGGAAAACTTCAGCATGTGGATGTATAGACCTCAATTAGAACAAGCTCCTAATATATGATACAAGTGTTTTCTTTTTGCCCTGCAGGTGCCAGGATATTTCTGGAAATCGTGTAAGTAGAATCAGCAGGATCTGTCCATGACAACCTCAGAATGATGTGTTTCTCCATCTCTTTTTTCCTTCCACTCCGAGATGAACCTTTGCTGTACCTTAAACTCATTCCCCTTCCTGTCCAGGCATGAGCTGGACTTTCTCTAGGATGCATTATCCTTAAACAGATCACCAGCTAAGGTGTGACAACGAGTATGTTTTTGTGGTAATTACACAAGTAAGAACATTTACTGGCATCTGAGTTAAATTAAATTAAATTAGCTAACTTCAGTAACTCCAGTATCTCTGTCCAGTCCACACCTGAGATACTGCAGTAACTATCACAATCCCTTTTTCTCCAGGCTAACCTGCCTTGCCCTGGTGCCCTCTCCTACTGACCTTCAGCAAGGGTTAAGTTTTTGTTTTACATTTCCTACAACTATTCTTACTGCAGTTGGTTATTTATCACAATTCCAAACACACTTACAGGCCAGGCCCATACTCACTTCGTTTACAAATACTTTTCCAAGTGAATTTCTTGCGTGGGGTCGGTTCATTAGGATTTCAGCAATACCTTGGTAATAGGAGACAATTTCAGTTATACTTCATTTAGTTCTCTGACACAGTAATTCAAGTGGGAACAATATCTGCATGTGCTGCATCTTCTCTTCCCTGAAAATGCATGTAAAGTATATTCTAAACCAATCAGTTATTTGAAAAGTAGAGGTGGCACACCATGTCTACAGAACCCAGTTATGCAGAAAAACTGTAAAATTCAGCAGCACTGTAAATACTGTAAGACTTTAAAAAATGAACACGATGTCCAAGACATGTGTCTTAGAATCACTGCAGAAATGGGGGGAAAAAAACCCAACAAACCAAAACCCAAATGATCCATCTTAGATTTCTCTTTTGAATGTTACTTAATTTCATTTTTATTGTACAGTCTTACTACGTTCAAGTACATTCCTTAATGAAGAAAAGGCTCTTGGGATGGCTGTTGGCACGAGAACAGCACAGGCTGGTCACTCTCACTTCACGTTCCAGAACCGTTATGAAACTGCAGCTCCATTTTATTTTAACTTAATAAGCTCATCAGTGGAAAGGACTCCATGCAAAGTTCCTAAGTCCAGGTAGAAAAATAAGGCCAAAATATGTATATACTTCTCCCTTACACGTGTGACTTGTAAATTATTATCCAATGGCCTCTTTGTGCTTTGGAAAGAAAAAAGATCTATCCTGTTTCTTTGGCTGGATTTCTGCTCTCTTCCCAGGCCCCAGCGTTCTAAGATGCTATTGCTGCTGCTGTAGGTGCACAGCTGTACCTTGCATGTGTGTTTTCCTCTGCCTAGGCCAGGAGCCAGCTACTGAAGAAGAGATGTGTCACCCCCGAACACACACGGGTGACAGCAGCACCAGCAAAGGACCTTCACAGCTCTGGTAACTGGTATGTAACTGGTATGTTCACAGGTATGTAAGCAGTAAAACTACCGAGAGCTGTTTAGGAGCTCTTGCAATAGTTACACAGAAAGTAAATCCATTGGCAATCTGAACCAAAACTCCAACTGTTTATTGTCTCTCATGCATATGTGCACAGACATGCCCAGCTCCTGTCCTACCTTTAGCGCTGTACAGTGCTGATATCAGAAAAATCTAAGGTATGCAAACCAGAACTTCTTGCGTTGATCTCTCCCGCACACGTAACTTAAGAATATGCATCTAGCTGTTCATTTGGCAGGAGTGTTCTCGGAAGCAAGTATCGAGGCATAACCGAAAGCAAAGATACGACGGACGACCTGGCTTCAGCCCGCGCCCTCCCTGCAGCAGCAGTCACCCCGTCGGTCCCCGGGCACTCACCGCCGCTGTCCCCGCCGGCCGAGCCCACCAGCACCTCCGCCCCCCGGCGCGGCTGTGCCAAGGGGGTCCCTCCGCGGGCCCCGCGCAGCGCGGCGGGCACGGCCCGGCCCAGCCGCAGCATGGCCGCTCTGGGGCCGCGGGACCGCCGGGACACGGGACGGTCCCGCCGCCTTTAAGGAGGAATGGAGACCTACGGGAGTCAGAGATACACCGACAGCCCGCTAGAGTGGAAGGGTTACTGACAAATGAGGACGCGTGCGGGGGAAAAGAAGGTAGATGCCGCCTGGATATCTGTGGAAGGCAAGAGGTGACCTCCTTTCTGTCCCGTGACGGAGCAGTGGAGATCCTCTAGGGTGGCACCGCGAGGGAAGGGGAAGGACTCTTGGAAGGGTGGGGTTGATGAAGGTCAGACGTTCAGCTTTCACCGCGAACCCATCCAGCATTTCAGGAAAACGTGATGATCCCTTCAAGTGACGAACCTGAAGACATCTCTGGAGGAAAAGAATCATAGAATCAAGTGGGTTGCCAAAGATCTCTGGGATCATCAAGTACATCATGGATCATGACTGAGTGTCATGTCCAGTCTTCCCTTAAACACCTCCAGGAACAGTGACTCCACCACCTCCCTGGGCAGCCCACTCCAATGTCTAATCACCCTTTCTGGGAAGAAATTCTTCCTGATGTCCAACCTAAACCTCCCCTGGCACAGCTTAAGACTGTCCTCCCTTATTGCTTGTTACAAGGCAGAAGAGATCGACCCCCACCTGGCTCCACCCTCCTGTCAGGGAGTTGTAGGGAGCGAGAAGGCTCCCCCCCTGAGCCTCCTTTTCTCCAGACTGAGCCCCCCAGCTCCCTCAGCCACTCCTCATAGAACATGCCCTGCAGACCCTTCCTCAGCTTCGTTGCCTTTCTCTGGACACGAAGAGACTTGCGTCATTCCAGCTCCACTTTGGAAAAATGTCTGATCAACAAGATAGGGAGATTCGGGGGAATAGGCAGGGATGGCTGCAGGGATGGCCATGGCTGTGCTATGGATGGGTCCATCCCGTCGGGGGCCGCACCGGCTCCTCCGCTCCTTTAAGGGGCGTGGCGGCGCTGGCCCGCCCCGGTCGCTCTCCCCGTCCCTCCGTGTCGCTGAGGGCCCGCGGGTCGCGGCGGCAGCGGCAGGACAAGGAGAAGGAAGAGCAGGAGGAGGAGGAAGGGGTCGCACCGCCATCATGCAGCGCCGGGTGTTCGTGGTGGGCGTCGGGATGACCAAGGTACCGCCCCCCGCCCTCCCCGGCACGGCGTGTGTGAGGGGGAACGACCCGGGCCAGGCTGGGCTCGCCGGGTGTCCCCTGTGGGCGCTGAGGGGAGGCAGGGGGAGCCGCCCGCTCCTTCCCTCCCCAGTGGGGTGAAGCCCCTCACGGCGCCCGGCGCCGCCTCAGCGGGCCCGGCGGGGCAGACCCGCGCGGTGCCGGCCCGGGCGGCAGCGGTGCCGCGCAAAGTCCGCCCGCGCCCGGCCTGAGGGGGAGGCCGGAGCGCGGCCAAGGGGAACGTGGTGAACTTGCAGAGCGGGTCGATACTACAGACTGCAGTGGGCAGTGTCCCCAGAGTGTCGCCGCAGCCGCTGGCCCGCGGCTCGGCCTTGCCCCAGGGGCCCGGGGCCTCTCCCGGGCTGTTCTGTAGCCGGTCACTGGGCGGCCAGCACAGTTCCCTCCACAGTCCCTGGGCGCGGGTTGCAGCCGGGTGCGTGTGGGGCTCTTCTCCCCAGTAACAAGCGACAGGACAAAAGGAAATGGCCTCAGGTTTCCACAGGGGAGGTTTAGGAGTAGGAGCAGGATTAGGGTTAAGTAAAATTTCTTTACCCATAAGGATTGCCAAGCTCAGGAAGAGGCAGCCTAGGGCAGTGATGGAGTCACTTGGGGCCATCATTTACTGGTGGATTTGGCAGTGCTGGGGTAAAGGTGCGACTTGATCTTAAAGGTCTTTTCCAACCTAAATGATTTGATGATTTTGAAAGAAGAGTAAAAGCTAAAGGAACAGACTTTCACAATGATCAATTCACCGACTGATTTTTCTTATGACCTTCAGTATGAAGGTTCTCTGACTAATGGAAGGAGGCACTACAGAAAGTATAGCAAAGTGTTGCAAAAGACTGGATTGGGGAGAAGAGCACTAGGAGGCAGAAAATTAACTTTTATACACTCACAGGGAATGTTACATAATTTGTAGAATGAAGACTTTTTTTAGCAGCGGCACTTTTTGTTAGTGATGCAAAAATGCAAAGCACTTGTGTTTGTGGTGGACTCTAACGAGTCATTGCAAAGAAAACAGAAATACCATCTCTACTCCAATCAATTCCGTACAAAGAACAAGAATTTTCTTGTTACAAATAGGAGTAGAACAAAATAAAGGGGAAAGGGAGTATTTATCAAAGTCTTAGTGAAGATTACGAAGATTATTGTGATGAATCAGTGACAATGACAGTTATTCTCCGTCCCACTTACAGGCTTTGCACAGGGTTATTGTCTGTCTCCAAAACCATGGATCTTCATTAAAACTGGGCAAAAATGGCCTTCAGCTTCATAAAGTGCCACTACTTTATCTGGATTTGGCAATAGTGCTTGGGAATTGTAAAGGTTTTGTGCACACACCTTTGAATCCTTTAAATTACATTGTTTGCATTATTTAAAAATGATTTCTAAATTAAATACAAAGCTTTTAAATATACCAATTTGAGCAAAAAAGCTATTAAATCTCACTGTGATTTGTTTTTGTGTTTTTTCCTCTTTTCTTGTCAGTTTTCAAAGCCTAATGAGAAGAGCGCTGATTATCCTGAAATGGCTAAGGAAGCAGGTAATTTAATGCTTTAAAATAAAACATTTTGTTTGATTGCTGATGCTTATTTTAAGTCTTACAGTTAATATTTTTATTATATATATGAAGGAATAACTGCTGTTCAGGAAGTAGATACATATAAAAAGCAGATCTAGAACTGGTAAAGAAAAGACCACTTCCACAAAATCCATAACTGACCTGTCCAACTCGCTGTCTCCAGTGCTGAAGTCAGCAGGATGGCTTAAAGTTGGACTGGACCCTTAAATAATTTAATACTTAACTATAATTTTCAAAACATCCTTTCATTGGGACGAACAACCTTTGTGCAGGAACATGATTGAATGAAATTTGCTGGTAAAGAAGTTCATTCAGAACTCAAAGCACTGTGAAATTGTCCTTATGAGTATTTGAATGCAGGAATTGTACATACTACTCTAGGTTTGCTTGTTATGGTTGTAAGAGCTGCTTTTTTTTTTTTTTTTTCTCCCTTCAATTTTAAACTGTTTTTTTTTTTTTTCAACTTGTGACTGTTTTTTAGGCCAGGCAGCTTTAGCTGATGCTGGGATTCCTTACTCAGCAGTGAAGCAGGCGTGTGTGGGTTATGTTTATGGTGAGTAATGTTCGATTGGGATGTGACATCCATGACAGTTGCAGACACCTCTGTGGACAAAATATGGGGGAATCCCATCCATAAGCTTTTTATTATGGGGAAATCTCTTTAAAGAGAGTTTTACATTCACTTTCTTCCTGCTTCTCTATGAATGGCTGTGTTATGGCAACTGGAGTAGGGTCAGTCAGCTGTGATACCCAGAGCAGCTTTCAAGCTGCACCTCTAAGTCCTTTCTGCCCCTTTGATTCGCAGTCTGTTATCACAGAAGCAGGACAAACTTCTGTCTTTAAAATCTGATGAGTGTCACTTTTTTTCTGAGGTTCTTTGCTGTGGATACCTGACAGACTTACTCGAAGGTGACAGTTCAGAAGGTCAAGTTTACAGTTTAAGGGGTAGCATTGCACACACATGGCAGGATTTCTTTTTGTGAGTGGAGTTTGAGTTTATACCTTACTTTAATGTGGTGTTTCCCTCCAAAGGTGACTCCACCTGTGGACAGAGGGCCATCTACCACGGGTTGGGTCTGACTGGCATTCCCATCGTTAATGTCAACAACAACTGTGCCACTGGATCCACAGCTCTGTTCATGGCCAGACAATTAGTAGAAGGAGGTGAGTTGTTTTGCTCTGGGGCATAGTCTCTATTTCTAGAAAAGGAAAAGGAGAGAAGAATCTGCTAAAAAGCCTAGCTTTTTAATTTTTTTTTTTTTTTAACTTGAAGTTAACACAAGTGTTTGACTAACACATTTTGGAAGGGAGAGGAAGAGCATTGCCTTGTGACAGATCGTGCTTTGAACTGATAGATGAGCGTTTCCTTCTGTTTCTGCAGTTCCTTTATGGACTTTGATACATTCTTGCACTTAAATGCTGATGTTTCTGTAATGAAAACTGTAGTAACACTGTATGATTATCCTGGTATTTGTAGCAGCGACAGAAGTGCTTGCTTGTCTAAGATAATTGCTCTCAAACAGTTAAAATAAATCCAAATCCTGTAGTGATCTCTCATTCTTGAGTATCCATATGTTTGTATCAATACCATTTCCACTTTGACTCCCTTTCAAAAATGAAGGAAGGAGGAAGAGCAGCTGGTGGGTGTTTATGTACCTATCTTGTAATTGAGTAGTTGTTAGTACATAGTGTCATTTATAATCACATTGTGCTTTAAATAGCCACAAATTTTATTTTAAGGTTTGGCAGACTGTGTTCTGGCACTTGGCTTTGAGAGGATGGCAAAAGGATCTCTTTCTACAGGTGTAAGTGTGTGAAACACTTCCTATGTTCTGTGTTTGTGGTGAGTTACACCTCCTCACTCTCTGAGATCTCATTTATCCCAGTTGCTCCGTGGTGTCGCTGTAGGTGATTACAAAATGAACCATTATTTTGACCCACAGAAACTTTTAATGAGTTTTAGGATTCTGATGACAGCTGACATGCAAATTTTGCCTGGAATGTTTTAGAATTAATTTTGTCAAGACTGTGTTAAAGGTTGGGTTAATAGGGAATAATGAAAATACCGGATGGAATACTGAAGCTTTGAGTAATTGAAATGTCTTCCTCAAAATGACACAGCAACTCAAAGAAATAATCCGTGTCTTCTGGCTTGATGCTTACGCAGTTGACCTGTTAACACACTTCCCCAAACCTGAGGTCTTCTTGACTCTTCTTTGTTTTTGCTGGAGAAGTCTTTGGAGGTTTGTTTGTATTTTGCCTTATGGCAAGCAATATTAGAGACCACATGTCATTTAACTACAGAACTGCCAAATTTGGTAATATATGCAAGAGGTTTGGGTGAGAAATGTTACATTTAACAAGTGGTAAAAACAAGCAAGCATTATCTTTTAACGTGCTCTACAATATTTCATCTAAGCTTCATTGAAAATACTACTATAAAATTAATCTTACAACTTGAAACCATGTTAACTGTATGGTTTCAAGTGAGGGGAAGAATACCCAATGTCCTCTGCTGAAAATAGTGACTGTGGTAGAAATCACATAGCTGTGATCCTTGCCTTGAATCAGTGCAGTGGTTATAATTCGGAGCATTTTCTGCTTATTTGCTCTTTTTTATAGTTGGGAAATTACCAATGCTTAAAAGCAGGTCCCTGAAGTGCAACGTACTGTCCAGTGGAATTGTTAAATGATCAGAAAAACCTTTATTTTGCTTGAAATCCATGGCACTTTTGTGGTGATGTTGTAGAGAAAAGGAAATTATGACTGTAGCTATTTCTCTTCTCTTTAGTTTTCAGACAGAACTAATCCAATGGACAAACATTTGGAGATTATGATAAATAAATACGGCTTAGCAAGTGCTCCAGTGGCACCTCAGTTGTTTGCGAGCGCTGGCAAAGAACATATGGAGAAATATGGTATGTTAAAATACATTTTTTTCATTGTCTTCTTTTAATGAACTTACTGAAAATAATATTTTAGGATCTTGTTTTTAAAAAAATGGTAGCATTCAGTATCCTTCCTTTTACCCAAGTACTGCAACTGCAGCGTCTGCAGCTCACACAGGAGGGAATACATTTGGGTAAAGAGTTCCCTACAGAGCAGCTGGTGATGTGTAGGCAGACAAAACCATCAGGAGACAGACTGAAGGCTGTGACACAGAGTGTCTGCTGTTGGTGCTGACGGTATGGTTGGTGTCTGTGTAAGGTGGGAGCAATCAGACTGCACAGTTTCCTGCAGTTTTGCCTTGTGCCTTAGGATGGGTGGATGGGCTTGGGACTGGATTCCTTGGCAAAGGCTGTTGGGTGGTTGATTTAATACCTGAACTAGGCTGCTGACACTGCTATTTCTCACCCCCTCAGCAGACAAGGGAACTGGCCTCAAGGTAACAGGCTGGACTGTTGTGCATCTTCTACTTGCAATTATTTTTAGACTATTATAGACAAAAAATTTTAGACTTAGATTCTAATATTTCACTGCAGGTGTTTTGCATAGGCATTGAAGTTTCAGTTATATGGTGTTACATCAAATAAAATGCACTTATTTTCTGTATTTTTTTGTAACTGAACCTAGATATTTGAGTGGCTTGTTCTGTCAGCTAAAACTCAACCATGTCGAGTTGTATTCATGTAATTCTGAGACCTAAGTTGAGCTCTAAGGAAAGCCTTGATAGTAATGAGTCTTTTGTAAAGATGCTTGTAAAGGTCAGATGCTCGTGACACAATATTTAAACTGTTATGTTAGCACTGTGTGGGTAAACAGAGTATTTCAACACAGCTTTCTCTCCCCTTCCAGGAACAAATCCAGAGTACTTTGCGAAAATTGCATGGAAGAATCACAGCCATTCAACGAACAACCCGTGAGTTGTGTGCTCTGCCTCGGTACTGAACATCCCTTGGTAAAAAATACCTGCACCACCAAGTACTATTTTTAGGAATGCTTTGTGTAGCATATTCTTTACTATGGAATGGGGATTTTCCCCAGCATAAATTCTATAAGCAGTGCCTTGTACGTTGTAAAAACAGCTCTGTAGCTGCCTAATGGTGTGACATGAGTGTGTCTAGTGCTGAAACTAAGATGGCACGTGTGTGTTGTCCTCAGGTATTCCCAGTTCCAGAAGGAGTACACACTGGATGAAGTTCTGCAATCCCGCAAAGTTTTTGATTACTTGACTGTCCTGCAGTGTTGGTAAGGACAGGACTTTGCACTGTGAAATAAATCTTGATGTTCTGACAAATATGGTGGGACATCTACTTAAATAAAAGTCTGTTTGTGTGTAAATTAAATTTTACAGACGACTTCAAGGAAAACGTTGTATAGATAAAACAAATGTGGAAACTCTGTCATGACCAAGCACTGGATAATTGTTCACAGTGTAATACAATGAGCTGAAATACGGTTTATACTTTGGGGTTCTCACATAATTCTGCATCCTCTACTCATGTGCATCCATTGCTGTTAAATGTTGATTTTTCTCTTCAGCATTTCCTATGCACTCTTGATCAGTTTACAGCCAAGTAGAAGCTTTGATTTTTTCCTAAATTGAAAAACCTTAATGATAAGTTTCTATTTTGATGTCATGATTTTCAAAGGCCTGGTATAAATATTACTGAAAGTGCCCAGTAAACACTGTTGGAATTTATAGTTTCAGCCAAAGAAAATGTCTTTTCATTTGTCCTTTTTGTTTGTATTAAAAAATCTATGGAAGATCTACATTACTAATTTAGAGTAATGACATCATTATTTTTCTTTCAATCAGTCCAACATCAAATGGTGCCGCAGCTGCAATTTTGGCTAATGAGGAGTTTGTGAAAAGGCATAAGTTGCAGCCAAAAGCTGTGGAAATTCTAGCCCAGGTGATGGCTACTGATTACCCAAGCACATTTGAAGAAAACAGTTGTATGAAGATGGTAGGTTTACGTTTTCCTATTCCCTGGGACTCATTGGGATGGTTTTTCTGGGGTTTTTGGTTTATGGTTTCTTGTTGTTTGTTTTTTTTTTCCTGCTGCAGTCCTGTTCTGTTAAGGTTTAAAACACAGTCCTAGTCAGTGGCTGATAGAAAAAGGGAATAAGACAGTTTGAGGATTTGCTGCAAGGCTGTTGGTCCGAGACACACAGGAGCGACGTGGCTTGGGAGCAAGGTCCAGAAAATAGAGGATATTCCCCAGAAACTTTTTTGCATACCAGCAATAAGAATTTAGAATGTATCATTTCTTTCTTTACAGTTCCTACTGTACAAATATTAAACTCTGATATGTGATGCATTAAAACAAATCAGAATATCACAACCTCCTCTGGGTTATTTTCACTGACAGGATATAGAGAAGCATGTTTAAAATTAAGTGTAGGCATGAAATGGCTGGCTGTACTTCTTTAATCCTATTTTAACATAGAATTCCTCCTTTTGGCAGGTTGGCTATGACATGACTAAAAAAGCAGCACAGAAATGTTTTGAACAAGCAGGCCTAAAGCCCACAGATGTTGATGTGATTGAACTTCATGATTGCTTCTCAGTTAACGAGTTCCTTACCTACGAAGCTCTGGGACTTTGTCCAGAAGGTAACAGCACCAATGGACATCATTGTTTTATTCAAGTGGAAAGCATTAAAAATACCCAAATTAAGGACTCTTGTGATCTCAGGATTATGCCCTTTTTTCAGGGCTACATAACTTACCTACCCTAAGATCTCCATCTAGGTATTTCCTTTTCAGGGGATAAAAACTGGACAAGAATTGCCTGTAGAGGGCCTTAGCAAGTCACTGATCTTTGAAACATCTTTGCCTCGGTGATGTTGGCAAGTTGGGACCGTGCCTCTAAAGTCAGCTGTGTAACAATGCACAGTCTGCCCAGATTAGTGCAATGTCATTGAAGTGGGTGGATTTATAACAGGTTATAAGGCAGTGGAGTTTATTTCTGTGTATGTATTAAAGTCTTCTACTAAAGAGGTTTTTTAACTGCTACTTCAGTTTGTGATATATTTAAATTCTAAACATATTCTTGCTTTGCATAAATTATCATCTAACATAATCTTTCTCTGATTTGTATTTAACTGATTTTGAGAAAATACCATATTCTGGCACTAGGGGGTATATTGAGTCTGAGCTTTCTTACCAAAACAGACATTCGTGGAACTCCAAAAAGACTTTTTATGCGTTTGAAGGTCTTCAAATATTTGCCTTTGAATGGTTGCTTTTGACTGTCATTTTTGCTGTATTTTTATGGTATCTGTGGCAAAAATGGTAAATTTTTGACATTATTTAAATAGGTACATTAGGCTCTTCAGCTTCATTCCTTTAATTGATACAGAATTGATCCTGATGGTAAATGCTTATTTGACTAAAGAGTCTTGTGCATGGTAATTTAACAGTGCAATTCTCACCACCTTCAGTCAGTCTGACCTTAATAGTATACAGAACTCATCTTGCAAAGGTAGATTAATTAGGCACAGAGATTAATGAAAGGGCATAAACCACACTGTGGGTTCAGGTGGGTGCCAGGCTAACCTGGTGATCTCACTTAGTGGCAGAAGTAAGTTGTAAGTACAGGAACCACGGCAGATCCTTTTTAGGTTTCAAAGTAATAATGTGGGCACAAGAAGCTCGTACAAGAACAGAGGAATAAGAGCTTGGTTAAAAGGGAGAACTGTCTGCAGTCTGGAAAGCTGAGTAATTGTAAGCATTGGTCTTAAGAGTGGTTTTATTTACTATCTTAATGCATTTACTATCTTAATTTACGATGTCTTAATGCAGCCCAGGGTACCATCAGCTGCCTTTGTGGCAAGGGCTTGTGTCCAACTTGGTGTTGACCTCCCATGTCCTGGGGGTCACAAATTCCAGCTCATTTACAAAAGACATAGTTATCACTGCAGTTTCATGAACAAAGTGATAAACAGCTTCATTATATTGGTTGTGTCATAATACTGTGTATCAACAAAAACAATCCAACAGCAAATTAAGAAACACTTTTGCATCCAACGCTTCTCTTCTCTGTTCCCCTTTCTGCAGTGGTATAAGCAATTCTCACTAAAGTAGTTGGGCTAATTCCAGTTGGCTCTTTGTGAAATATGAGCTGTAGCATTTCCTGGGTTTTGCCTGACCTGCAGCATCTCTGGTAAATGACAGCAGAATTGGCAAATCACTTACAAAGACCATTTCTCTTACATAAATACTGTTTCATAGGAAGAGCATGTGACCTGATCGACAGAGGAGACAATACCTACGGAGGAAAATGGGTGATTAATCCCAGTGGTGGCTTGATCTCAAAGGGACACCCTCTTGGTGCCACAGGTAAGCAAGACACTTCAGTGAGTCCCACCCTTAAATAGGAGATGCAGCCCTTGGGCAGGCAGGGGCTTCCCACTGGTGCCTGACACACGAGAGCCTCCCCATCAGCTCCAAAGTTTCTTTCCAGTTTCTCATTTCCAAACAATGCAAGTGTTGGGGCAGCTTCACCACACAGGATTGCTCAAACCTCTGTGAATTTGACCATTAGCACTGACTTAATTTTTGGTGCTTTTTTTTCCTGTTGTTACTAAAGCAACCTGCAAACAGTTTAACTTTTTTTATTTTTCTCTAAATAATTGCTCAATAGTTTAGCTTCTGATTAATGTGATTAGAATAACTCTTTTTATATTCCGTCATCCTTTAAATTTGAGATCTTGGAGGCTTTTAGTGCCTCTGAATAGCCTGTTCCATTGTTAGCTGTACTAGAAGCCATATCTGTTAAGTCTTGCATGTCAAAATATTTATGTGATGTTTACAACAGAAGCTCACTTAGTCACCGTTTACCAGCAGCATGAGTTCTCCTTTCTGTTTGTTGTTTTTTGTTTTGTTTTGTTTTGTGTTTTGTTTCTGTAAAATGCTATGCATGTTTCCAAATGAGTTGGCTCTTGGATAAAACGTGATTGGATTTGTGAAGGTAATTCACCTTCCTTGTTTGGAAATGAGAAGTTGTCAGAAAACTGGAGAAGAGGAAACCTTATAAAACAGCAAAGCCTAATCTAAACAGCTGTAACAGTGAGATGATGCAAAGTTAGTGTCAGGGGCAGGGAGGACTTTTAGGAAACTCTGGGGAAAAAAGGTTTGCAGATAAATGAGCCTGTGGGTGTCTAACAGGATGAGAGTGTTGCATTGCCAGGTTTGGGGTAGATTTTTGTCAGTGACAGATGCAGAGGCAGTTGCTGGTATTTTTGCCTCTCTGTTGCCATGGGATGGGAGAAGAGTAATTAAATATCCAAACCATTCCAGGACAGGCTGTACCATTTTGCACACTCATTCCTTGAGGCTGAGAGAGTGTAAATTAAATCTGTTCATTCTCATCTATGTCTGGAATGATAAAATTCCTTGACTCATCTTCTTCATAATGTTTCAGGTGTCAATGTGTTAAATTTGGTCTGTAAAATGCGGATTCCTTGTCTGCCTTGTCCACTGGGCTGTGCAGTTATCTGGGGGAAGGAATGGAGGGAAGGAGAAATGTGTGAGAAATGTCTGGAGAAGGGCAGTGGGGCAGGGGAAGTGTCTGGAGCACCAGGAGGGGCAACTCCCTGACAGGAGGGTGGGGCCGGGGGGGGTCGGGTTTGCTCGCAGGGAACAAGGAGAGGACAGGAGAAGCAGCCTCAAGCTGCGCCAGGGGAGGTTCAGGTTGGAATCAGGCAGAATTTCTTCCCAGAAAGGGTGATCGGGCTTTGGAATGGGCTGCCCAGGGAGGTGGGGGAGTCACCGTCCCTGGCCCTGGAGGTGTTTTAAGGAAAGAATGGACGTGGCATTAGTGCCACGGTGTAGTTGGCAGGGCGGTGTTGGGTCATGGGTTGGACTCCATGATCCCAGAGGTCTTTTCCAACCTAAGTGATCCTGTGATTCTGTGTGCGGTGAAACCGGTCCCTAACTGCAGAGACAGCAGGGTAAACGTAATCCCAGAGCCAGGGCTGCGATGAAAAGCGGTTTCCCTCCCCTCGTGCCTCCCGAAGAGATCCCTTTCCAGACACCCGCGCTTTCCGCGAGGAGCTTCCCCAGTTCCCTGACGGCTCTGCGCTCGATGTTTCAGGGCTGGCGCAGGTCGCGGAGCTCTGCTGGCAGCTGCGCGGCCTGGCGGGGCGGCGGCAGGTGCCGGGGGCGAAGGTCGCGCTGCAGCACAACCTGGGGCTCGGCGGGGCCGTCGTGGTGACTCTGCTGGGCATGGGCTTCCCGCGGGGACACAGGTGAGACTGCTGGGCATGGGATTCCCGCGGGGACACAGGTGAGACTGCTGGGCATGGGATTCCCGCGGGGACACGGGTGAGACGGGGCCTGGTGACACTGCTGGGCATGGGCTCACCGCGGGCACACAGGTGAGACGGGTCCGGGCCCAGCACCTCTGGGCCGAGCACAGAGAGAGGGGGGAACTGCTGAGGGAGCGTCCGTGCCCTGCGCCCTCACGGCTTTGTGCCTCAGAACGTGATTATCTGGGAGCTCTGGGTGCTGCTGAAGAGAGCGCGCTGTTAACTGAGCTCGCTCAGCGCTCACTGGAAACTTGCACACTAACTCCTCTGTGCCCTCAGCACTGCGGTTGTTGCTGGGGCCTTAACTCACACACTGCCCGAGTCAGGAAAATAACGCGAGCTGGGGGTTACTGAAAAGAGTGTCTGGTTAACAATGTGCACTCGGAGTTGGGAGTCACGGAAAAGAGGAAACTGGCCCTTAAAAACGGGTCATGTGACTGCCTCTGAGGAAATGTCGCGTGTTTGGAGGAGAAAAAAAGTCAGCAAAACAAACCAAACCCTTCCAAGAACAAAACAGGCCACGTCGAAATGAATTAATTGCAGCTAGGGGTCTGCCAAAACCAGCAAGGCATCCATGGGAATAGAGGTACTCACTGCTAAAATTGTCACTAGTTTGGCTTGCTGAAGAATTGCTCTCAGCTGTGTCATATGTTGTATTGTAAGTACTGGGAGAGTTCAGGTGTGCTACTGGTCCAGTCCTGGCTACAGGATTTGCAGTTGCAGCCTTTTTCAGAGTGAGAGAACATTGCTACAAGGTATCTGCACCCTGCTACAGTTCTGTGCTGAGATGGACAGGAATGCAGAGAAAACAAAATTTGTATTATACTAGAATCTCAGGAGAGACTTTTTATACACAATTCACTTTACATTTTCACTTTCAACTTGGCTTAGAATAGATGGAGTTGCTTTTTGTGTGACTTAAAGGCTTTTAAAGGTCGATGCCAATACTTTATATTTGGTCTGAAAGCCTGTGAACAGCAAAGTTTATCATGCACTGGCCTTACAGTAATAAATATTCCCCTCCCTCCCAAGTCACATTTCTAGTGTCTGTTTTAGCTGAAGCTGAGCAGTTCCTGGGAGGGGATGATATAATCTGGAAGAGGTGACAAGAGAAGCTTGGAAGGGCTGCAGCAGTTATTTTTTGTAGTACAGAGTCTGGAGTGATAATCCAATCACTTCTGTGATCTCTAAGAGGTTGTGCCATGTGAAAAAATAGGTGTGATGGAGGAAGAATGTCTTCTCATGGGTTCTCTGCAGACTTGCTCACAGACAGAACTGGGCAGTGGGTGCTGGGACAGTTTTATCCCAGAGCAGGAAGGATTGTTACAGGGAATGTACTATTTGCCATTGCTTTGAGCTCTGTCTTTTAAAATACTGTAACTTTATGGAACAGAGGAACTGTTGCTATTTTTACATCCTTGACCTTGAGGTAGTCCTAGAAGTAGTGCCTTCCTGTCAGGAAGGGCTTTGCATGTGGAGATGATGTCTCTCCTGAAGAAATGAAGTCTAGTTTACTACAGCTCAGGTCACCCTCACTGGTCTTGAAAATTTTTCAAATACTTTGTTAGGTTCAACTCAAAGCAGAGAAACCTTAGCAGTGCTCATTTCATCTTACACTGAAGAGGTTCTAAATCCCTTAGTTCCCCAAAGGCTGTGTGTGGGAGATCCCTGAGTTGCACTAATGTGTATCAGACTTTGGAATGAAACAGCCTGATCTCTTCAGACACCTCTTATGCAACTGATTTATGATGTGCATTGTGTAATTGAGGGAAAGGTGGTGAAATTCCATGTTTATGGAGATATTTCACTCCAGTTTGCTACAGCAAGGTATGTAAAACTAACCACTGATTCCAGATCTGGCCTGTGGCTTTAGCAGGAGCTGACAGGAATGTGCATCCAGGTGAATGGCAGCAGGACTTGATCCACTTTGCATTAGTTTTTGAAACAGTTCTGCTTTTTGTTGGTTTCTCTTTTTAATACCTTACAAATTCTGCATCCTGTCAGTACAGCCCTGGTTTATTAATAAATTGGGTGTGTTTCCTTCAGATGACAGTGCCCACTCTTGGTGCCCTGTCTCTGGTGGGGCAGTGTCAGCCCCACACCAGTAAGCTCCAGCAACATTTCTTAGGCAGTTCTGTCCCTTCAGCAATACCAGACCTGACCACAGTTTTGGACTCTGCTGCCAAGAGTTGGTAATAACTGTAAACTTGTTTTTCCTGCTGCTGGGATTGCCGTTTCTTTGGACATCTCCATACTTGGCTCTGTGTGCCCCTGCAGAAATGAAGAGCTGGGTTTCATGCTGCAGTCAGGCCATGCAGGGTGATTGCTCCAGAGAATCAGGACTAATAAGATTAATGAGTCACTTCCATTATAAAGTCAATATTCTGTTCATACATGAACTTGATACTTGCTGTGATTGTAATTCAAGCTGTCATGCCCATGAGAGAGCAAGCTTCCCTTTGATAGCAGAGTTGCTCTGTATTGCTAAAATGTGTCTTGCTGGTGCTAGGCCTGTTCATGATGCTTTGAAGATGCTGAAGATGTGATTAAAGGTTCATAACCGGGTGGTTTTTATTTCAGCAGCGGCCGCGTCACAGCTGTGCCGCTCAGCGCAGCTGTGGACGGATTTAAGTCACATCTGGTCTTCAAAGAGATTGAAAAGAAGCTCCAAGAGGTATTTGACTGATTCTCTTACCTACAACAGGATTTTAATTGGTAACAAAGTGTGTGAAACCTGATGGGAATGAAGTAACATCATTGCTCCCTCAGCACTGCTCATTGAAACAAATGGCACAGATTTGGTTCTGCTGGGCCAGAAATCTTTCTGCCTGTGCCATGATTTTAAATTACATTTTTCCACGTAGTTCCTACCTGCATAGGGGTATTTCAGTGAAGGCAAGTTTAGATTGTATGTGAAGAGCTTTCTAATAACACAAGAGACTTTGTGTCTGGTGTTGGGTGCTTCCTTTGTAAAGTGTGATTAGAGGAAGAAATCACATTTGTCAGATTCCCATTTTTCTTAGTTTAATAGATTTTAATATAGATAGCCATAGTTTGAGTTTTTTGTTCGTTTAGATGTTTTTGATGGTTGTTTAAATGATGACTAATGGGAGAAACAGATATTTTTATATTACTAGAAACAGTAAAGGTTTTTAAATTACTTTCTGTTAAATTCAAACTATCTGAAAATTGTGTTGAAGTAAATTACTAACTTTCACGTTACCTGGTCTTTACAGGAAGGAGAGCAGTTTGTCAAGAAAATTGGTGGAATCTTTGCCTTCAAAATAAAAGATGGCCCTGGTGGGAAAGAAGCAACTTGGGTTGTAGATGTGAAAAATGGCAAAGGCTCTGTGGCAGTTAATTCAGGTCAGTGCTCCTGTATTATGTCACTGCAGAAAACACATAAAACTAAGAGAGATAAACTCACATTCCTTTAAAGCTTTAATGAGCAAAAATTATGTAGAGCTATCTTAATTAATTTTAAATTTTCCTTATTGCGGACATTTTTCATCCAGGACGTTTTGGACCAAGAGTAAAACATCTCCTACTCTGAATCTATCTAGAGATAATTGTGTATTTTCTTAGAGGCTCCAGGCAGATCTCTCACAGACTTCACAGAAATAAATGAGACACAGACTGAGGGGTGGTGAGGAACCCCATAAAAGTATCAGAAACACAGCATTTGTACCCTTGCCATGAAGGTGTCTTGGCTCACGTCAGAAGTCACACATCTCAGTAAGGCAAATAGAAAATGACAAGAGTGTGTCCTCAGAATCTCATCTATCCAGGAACCTGCAGCACAAACCTTTTAATTAAAAACAGGACAGGGGATTTTTATTTGGAAATTCATTGTTCTAAGTTAAAACAAAAAGAAAAGCACCGTTTTCTGTTGCATGCACAGTTTATCAAACATTTCAGTTTAACAAGAAGGTGAGTATAGGAAAAGATGTGTGCAGGTTTTAGCCCCTTGGTATAAATACCACTTTATATTGGAGCTTATTAAAATAATTTTTCAGGTCATTTTTAGTAAGAAGATCCTAAAAACTTCTGCCTTTGAATGAATTGAAATGAATGCACATGTTGTTTCCACTGGAGGAGAGGACAGGAAATGCCTGGAATGTCAGTAATGAATATCTTCAGGGTGTCACAGCGGAAAACTCATCTATCCTGATTTGTCTTAATACTAGCAAATTTAAACTTGATAAAACTGAAAGGTAACTGTCAGTGCTTGCAATCAACATTCTGCCTGATATTATTATTTCTTTTCAAGGAATAAATTTGCCTTCACAAAGGTCCATCTTCCTTCAGTGTTGGCCTCTTGCTGGTATTTTGTAGTGGCTCTTGGATGTACTTAGGTACCATTTTCCTAACCTGCAGTATCAACAGATTCTTCGTGGGGTTGCAGTTTCTATTAGTGTATTATTTTTCATTTTGAACCTTCACAGTCATCTCTTCCCTTGCAGATAAGAAGGCGGATTGTACAATCACGATGGCTGACACGGATCTGTTGGCACTCATGACTGGCAAAATGAATCCTCAGACAGTAAGTACAGCAAACATGGGATGATAAGAGGACTGACTTGTTTGTTCTGGATGTGTTTAAAATGGAAATTATTTAAATAAGCCCCCTCTTCCAAAACTGCTGGGGCTGATCTGAAAGATGACAATTCTTGACCTTCTCTAAACAAATTGGCCAAAGTCAGAATAATCAAGAAAGATTGATGATTAATCCTGAACAGGAACACACAGTCTCAGACATGCTGTAGGTAATCCAGAAGGGGGTGGAATAGCTCTTGGTTTGCAGAGCAGAGGGGGAATTCCCTGTTTGCAGTGTGCCATCACAAAGGAGGAATATGGGCTCTCTGTTTGGAGGGCTCTGTGCTCATAGCTGGCATTAGTGTAAGGAGTGATCTTGATGCTGAAAGAAACAAACTGAGATTTATCCACTGAATGCCTGTGATTAGTTGGGTTTTTTTTGGTTGGCTTTGTTTTTTTTATTCCTCATGTGTGCCAAAAGCAGTTGTAATGTATGAGTAAAGCAGATGTGTAGGTTTATGTGCTGTCCTTCTAAATTTGAAATCCTCTGGGTAACATTCTTTCAAGTTTTTGGTCTGCTAATCACAGGGTAAATAATAATTTTCACAAACTGAAATGTGTCTAGGAGAAGTCTGAAGGTAAAACACATTACAGAAATGTTGTAATGTACAGGTAGAAAATTTAGAAGCAATTGCAGTTTTACACCTGCAGTTTGGATATTTTAGTGCATGTGCTTCACCTTTTTACAAGGTCTGGAGGAGAAAAATCAAAAATATAAGAACACAACTTCCTCAGTTTGCTGTTCTGCCTTCTAGTGCCAGCAAATGCATTTATCCCTGGATGTGAGGTGTGTGCCAGAACTACTGGAATTATCACACTGCACATATATAACTCTCTGGGGGAGGTGCATTTGGGGTAACTTGTTGTAGTGCATTTCACAGACTCTTTCTTTCTTTCTTTCCAGGCATTCTTTCAAGGCAAATTGAAGATTTCTGGGAACATGGGCATGGCAATGAAACTTCAGAATCTACAGCTTCAGCCAGGCAAAGCTAAACTTTGAGCTCAGTAGAGTAAATAGTCAGTATTTGATGTTCTTGACAAAAAAAGTAGAATGAGACTAGACATTATCAATAATATGGAGCAGGCTGGGTTTGATTGGACCTCTCTCACCTCAATTCTGTGGTTAGAGACCGTTAATTCTCTTCATGAATTCCATCAGTTTCTCTATGGCTAAGCTTGAGGCACTAACTCTTACAAATGATATATGGTGGGCTTTTGTGACAGGTTTTGTTCTAATCAATATGGAAAATCTTATAAAACTTAGAGTGGAATGAGGCTGCTTTCTCTTGTTCAGGTTAGTTGGGAAGGAAGTGAGGAAAGTTATAAATAGTTTGGCATGTCAGTTGAGTGAGCTGCATTTTTTAAAAGCTGTAATAGCAGGTCATACAAATGCTTTCAGACTTCCACTCTAACAAATTTGCTGCTGCTTTCATTAAAATGGTCTTGTAAAGGGGATCTCTAACAACATTTTTTTAGAATAAGTTTTAGGAATTTGCTATAAAATACTTTTCTTATTACTACTTTGGGATTACAAAATAAATAAAATATCCAGAAGTACGCAGGAACTGGAATGTTGAAAACAGATTAGGTTTGCCAGGAGAGCAGAGAGGGAGTACAACCAATATGTTACCTGTTTTCTCCTGACAGAATCTGGTGTTGATCATGACAAAATTCTTGTCAGTAATTTCTTTAAGTTCTGTTTTGGGCGAATGTTTTCTGGTTGGAAGTTTAATAGAAAATTAAATATACTTTTCCTGTTCTTCTGTGTGTCTCTTGCTCAGATTTATAAAAATGGGTTTCATGTTAATGTGCTGAACTGGCTGTTTTGTTCAGGTTCTCCAAGGGGCACCTGCAGATGTCCATTTTTAAATGCTCAGGCATTGTCAATAGACAGTCCATAACCTACATCTCAGCCCAGCAGATACATCTCCCATCCTCTCATGTGGGCTATGACTGAGGAACTTACTGGAACTTCCACTTGCCTGGTTTGACTGAAATCACAGCTGGACTCTAATCCTTGTGGGTCCCTTGCAGCTCAGCACATTCTGGGATAATAAAAATGAGCCAATTCAAGCCCATCATTCTGCTTCTCTGCAGTGGATGGTGACAAGTTGCTGAGCAGTAAGAATGGCTCTACTGCATCAGACCCAAAATCTTTGTAGCCCACTACATCTCTGCCTTGGAAGGAATATTACAATGACCCAAACATCTGTTTACTCAGAGTACTTTCCGAACTGCCAGTGATTGTAATTTTGTACATTTTTTTCCCAGCTCACAAATTTGAGCCCAAACTGATAGGTCTGGATTGCCTTTCAGGAGTTTATCCAGTCCCTTTTTGAATCCTTGGACAGCTTTTTTCAGATGGATCACGAGCTTCTGTACCTACACGTCATGTGGAATTAAACTTTATCTTCTACATTGCAGTTTTATACCTCTTAGGTTTTTGGTTTTTTGGGTTTTTTTCATGTTTGGTGATGTTGGTTTGTTGGTTTTTGATTTTTTTTTTTTTAACTGGAAGAAACCATGACCAGCTTCAGAGCACTCCTGGTGTTTATGGTCTTGCCCTGTCCCCATCAGGCTTCATAGCTGAGAGAGGACCTTCTATTTCCCTGTGTCCCACGGAGACACCCTCGTGACCTTTTGGCCCTCCTGGTATCATTCCTGTGTGCTGCATTCCCATTGTCCTGTTCAAAAGTTTTCTAGATACAAGAGCATTTTCTGCTTTAGTTTTTCTTTCCCCCTTTGCTTTCCTCACCACTGCTAGTTTTAAGATGATGTTTTCTTAGATGCCTTAAAACTGAGGGCTCATTTCTTTCCTGCTGACTCAGTGCTTGTTTCTGCCCCGTGACACTGAAATATTTTTAATTATTGCTCCATATGCTTAATTTATATTGAATTTCTGCTGTCTTTTACTGTCCAGGCACTGGGTGTTCAGACCTGCCTGCAGCTCTTGTGCTCAGCCCTGGGCTTTTCATATCTGCATGAATCAACATTTGTCACCACACTGTTCATCTTCTGCAAGGCATTAGTTTTCTGTTAAATAGGACAGAGATGGCCTTGCTCCACTGTAAACTTCTTAAAATACAGTCTGTTCATGTCAGCCAGGTTTCCTCTTGGGTATTCTTTGTTGACTTACCCAAAGGATTGGAGTAGATAGTCATGTCTCCAGTTAAAGCAGTGTTAGCTCTCAATAAAATAACATCTGTCAATGCACCCACTGCTTTTTTCTAAGTTCTTGCCATTTGGATTTGGGTTCAAATAAAGGGGAATTACGGGACTGTGGCAGGAATTTTGTACTGAAAACAGTTTGTTCCTCCTTTTAAATCACTGATACTACCAAAGAGCTCTGAGCTCTGTTATGCAAGCTCAGAACGTGCTTTTTCAAGAATTTTGAACACAAACATATTTTTGAGCTCTGTTTAATTAAAGAAGCAAATGAATTTTGAAGTGTAAATAAGGTAACATAGATAATAGGAGTCCATGCCAATAATGGTTTAAGTAAGATGTGCTCAGTTGCAGATTGATGTAGGGTTTTTTTTTTTTTGGGGGGGGAAGTTGCACAGAAATACTAAGAGAAAAAAAATGTGCAAAAATAACTTTCTTTGCTACCAGGTGAGAGAATATCCAAGAGAAAAGATGAGAAATCTCTGGGTTTGTATGGGCCTGGGGCTTTCAGGCTTGAGCCCTTGCAAATGTGAGTGTGACAGGAGGAACCGCAGCTGAAATGCTCAGTTCCCAGCAGCAGTGGCCAGAGGGAGCAGTGCAGGGTTAGCACAGCCTGCAGCCCAGAGAGCCACTCAGTCCTGTGCTGCTCCTGCAGGACAAAGTTGTGTATTTACCACATCTACCAGTTAATGTCTTATTTAGACATTTGTCTTGCATTACTTCTTCACTTTCAGCACCTTCTTTGTGTTGTAAGTTGCTGAATAATTTTTAAATGTAACAGGTCCTCTGATTTTTCTGAGTGTGAGTGGGGTGCGTGGACTTTTCTAAAAGCACCTGATCCTCCACTGACGTTCTGCAGGCTTAGAACATGATAACTTTGAACAAATACATTCCACAGTGAATAAAATAATTTACCCAGTTCATCATGAGGAAATAGGCAAAGCTCTGTGGTGCAGAGCAGTCTTTGACATTATAGAGTTCTGTTACTCATTTTTTGCATTACCCAAGTTTGTGCCATTCTAGAAATCTTGTTACAAAAGTTTTCTTTCTCACTCCCTCATGCTCTGCTGACCAGGCAGCATCAAGCCCCTCTTTTCCATCTGAAATCCTCTGGTGAATACCCTTTGCAGATCTTGGTTTGGGGTTTTCCCAGCCATGAGAAAAATGTGTTCATCCTTTGACAGCCAGAGGTGCTCTCAGGTTGGCAGATGTATCTCACCTCTACTTTCTTCTGTAAAATTTTTGGTAATTCTTGCAGATAGGAATGTTCATTGTTAAGAAAAAGGGAAAATGTGTTTCGCTGCTGCAGGAGAAGCAAATGGTCTGGCAGGGTTGGAGCCAGTGAGCAGAGTGATTGCTGACTCAGCAGATCTGGCTTGCGGGAATTTGACTGGATGTTTTAGTTTGGAGCACAGATTTTGTTTTTAAACTTTAACTTCAGTTTTGTGTTTCAGCCCTGCCGCTTTGCCTGATGAGAAATAGGTTCAGTGCAGAGCAGTACCCTTACTTTTGAAAACAGGTAGGGTGTCAAGAGTGTGATTGCTGCTTTCCTTATGTTTAAGTCATTAGAAGAAAGTCCTTTTCAAAAGAAAATGTGCCGCTTTGAGAAATCTCCGTTTCTGTGTTGGTCAGGATAACAAGTAGGAATTCATTGCAAAACAGAGCTGTGTGGGTAAATGAGGCACATCCACGGGCAGCTGAGGCAGCCTGGGGGGAGCAGGGACTGCAGCTGCAGGTTGGTGTGTGGGGCTGTCTGGACCCCTGGAAATAACTCCCTGGGGACTGTGATCCGTGTCTAGTGCAGGTGGCAGAGGGGGAATGGACAGTCTGGCAAGGGCCACCATCCTGGCTTTCCCCGTGGAAAGCAAGTCCTGGTCCAGGGTATTGTGGGATGCCTTTGGTGAGGAGCAGAGGGATGGAGGTTGTGACCTCACCCCTCAGAGTGAGGAGGTTGTGCCCAGCTGAGCATGGCTGGTGGCAGCTGGACTAAAGAGCTGCTTTTTGGGGCAGTAGATCATTTCAGACTGCAAAAGGATGGGATAAAGAGACTTGACTACATATTCCCTCTCACGAGAGAAGAAAATTCCGATAATCACGAGGCTGGTTTTGTCCGTTTCCCATATGTCCAATTCATCTGAGGTCAGATTAAACTCTTACCTCCTTGGAACAGGAAATACAGGGCTTCCTGTTGTACTGAGCTCTGAGCTGCATGTCAGCTCTCGTTAGACAGAAAAGAGTAGGAATGCAATTAGCCTGCTGGATAAAAGGCAGGCAAAAGTCCCTTAACTATGAAAAATCAACACTTGAGGAAGCAAACCACATGTGGAGAACAAATGCTGGAAAAAGCCCCGACTGTTTGGAACAAATGCCTTTATTACTTAAATAAACAGCAGCGTAATTTGTTGGAGTGACAGTGTGAGCTGTTCTGTGCCCTGTATCTGTAAGAAGAATTCACTGCTAACTTGAAAGCAGATGGTTTTATATGGCCCTGGGTGGGTTTTCTGGGAAATGTTAGTTCTGTACTGCCATACAGGAACAGAAATATCCTAGTAATGCTGCAGCAGCCTGAAAGGAACATGGATAGTGTAAAACAAGTATGAAATATGCTGTGTCTGTAGCCCATATTTCAGGTAGATTAAAAGCAGTCATGGATTTTTCTTTTTTTTTTTGAACATCCTCTGGGAGAACAGACATCTTCAAGTTCATTGGGATCAGGACACAGATGCCAATAGGCTCATAGCCAGGCTCTGCTGTGCATTCTTAGGTTTGAAAAGTACTCCCCTTCCTGCTTTGGAGACAAAACCCCTTTTATTCCATGTGTTTTGATCATTCATTTTTTGAAGCAAATGACGGCAAGTTACTTAAAAGACTTTTCAGTGGTCTTTTTTCTCTCCTTTCAAGTAGAGGCACGATATCAGCACATAGCAGTGAGCACCTCAGCAACCCCAGTATTTCTGTAGAGTTTTAAGCAGATAAATGAGGGTGAGAATAGAGACCATTTTGTAACTTCCACCTCCTGAATGCCTCCTGCCTTGCTCCATGCTGATCACAGGTGAGCTGGTGCCTGTAGAACCACTCCTCTGCTTGTACCTTTTGTTCTCTGCCATGCTGTTGTTTGACTGTGTGTCTGCTACGTGAGTTAATCATGTCACATCTAAATTTAGCCTGTAATCTCTTCAGGACAGCGGCTGTAGTTGCAAAGTCAGAGCTGAGCAGGTCTCCCATATATTGCCTTACTGCAGCTTGGCCCTGCACACAGCTGATGCTGAGGTCTGCAGGAGTACCTTTGAAATCGAAGAGCTCAGGTTGGCAAAGCTTGTCCTTGACCTCTGCTGGGGCAGTGCAGGAGGTTGTCCCTGCACAGAGCCTCATGTGCCAGCCCCGTTGCAAAAGCACTGGGTGTGTTGTGGCGCAGTCCCAGCTGCCTCAGCAGTTGGGTGCCCCAGGACCTGGTTCTCAGCCTTCTGTGATCTGCAGAAGTAACTGTGCCAAAGTTTAAAGTGATTCTTTAGTTTTTTACACCTGAAAATGTTTCTTCATGCAGGCTGCAAGCACCACTCACACCCAGCAGCAGGGAACATGCAAGAGTGCAAAGACTCAAGTTGACTGGAAATGTTTCCTGCAGCTGATTCTGTGCTGGGAGTCTTGCAGTGGGAGTCCTTTGCTCTGGAAGCTCCAGAAAGCTGCAGTGAATGAACAGAGTGTGTTATCTTTGCATTTGAGATAATACCTGGTTTGGTCCTGGCTCTGTGCTGATGGATGGCCTGGGCTGGCTCTGACACTTGGGTGCCTCTGTTTCCCCACTAAAGGAAGCACAGTGCCCCTCTTTATGATGCCCTACCTCTAGATGCTGCCTGACAGCTAATTTACTACACTTACACAACAAAAACCAGATAAAAATGCCCTTCTGGGGAAGGGTGATGTTCTCTTCCTCTCCCTTGTGGGCTGCTGTGGCATCAATAGTGAGCAAGATGATCCCCCCCTCCTCCTCCTCCTTTCAGCAGACTGGGATGAGGTGGGGTGGGCCCCCAATATAAGCACAGTTTTTCTCCTCCCTGCAAAAACTATTTACATTTTGTTGTATGGACTCAGGGTACTGTAATTCAGAAAGAGTAGCAGAAAAATGTGTCCTGCATCTCTGAATCACTAAGGAAAAGCAGCCAGCTTTGGTTTGTTTTTATTTTTGTTTTAGTAAAAACGCACTTCCCACTCTTAACTTTTGAGACTTCCACGTGGCACAGAGGGGGATCAGTTCCAGTTGATATAAGCCTGGATGAAGAGAGGGAGGAAATAACTTAATTGCTTTAGTTCAGCTGGAGTGGAGAGCAAAGAATCAGTGTCCCTTTATTTGGAATTCAGCAAGAAGGTCGTGTTGTTGGTGAGGACAGATCCCCTGCAGGTTCTGTGGAGGTACTGTATGGAGCTCTGGGGGCATTCACAGAACAGGTGGCTTTATATTTAAAATAGGAACTCTGCTGTCAGGGATAAAAAGCTGTGTTGCTTTCTTGGAAGTATTGCTGCACTTGGAGCATACTGTGTTACCAACAGGGGGTTTCTGTGCTTTCACGAAGAGGGGGGAAAATAAGGAATGGGAGGCTTCTGGGCTGAGTGGGGGGTGTGTGTGTGTGTAGTGGAAGGTTCTGATGTCAGTGCTGTAATGTGGGGCTTAGAAGATAAAAAAGAGATTGGGTAGATGGGGTGTTGAAGCAAATTTGGGGACTTTGCCTCTAAAACTTCTGTAGTTTCAGCCTGTCGATCCCTGGTCCCTGAAGATCAGTTGATAGGTTGAAAACCAAGGGAGAGTTAAAGGGGAGGGAGATGAAATGCAGGAAAAACTGCTGATCTGTCTCTTGTGGCTAATTTGAACCAGACCCCCAGAGAACGGGAGGACATTCCCACCTGGGATTCAGATTTTGGGTTGAATGCAGCTAAAATCAAAGATCTAGTCCCAGTGCAGCTCCAGTCTGCTGCAAGGAAATGCAGAAGCACACACCATCTCTGCTTCTCCTGTGCCAATTCCAGCACGCTGGCTTTTGGCATCGCTCACGGAGCCTGCGATCTCTGTTGACAAAAAGTAACGGGGGATTGTTTATTTCCCAAGGCTTTCTATTCAGTCTATAGCTGCTTCCTCTTTCCTACTCACATTTTCCCATATGGTGACTTTGGAAAATTCCTCTCCGATTTCGCTGGGAAGTGCGGGAAGCTCTCGTTGGTAGAGGGTTGCCTGTTGCTCTCTCTTGTTCTGCTGCTCACATCTGGAAAGGATCTGGCTGGGAAAGGGGAGACTGGCTGTGAGCTCAGTGCATGTCACTGACATGGCATGAGCGAGGGAGCCTGTGGGGGCAACGCAAATGTTCTTCTCCATTCAGCTCAGTTCTGACAGCAAAGGTGAGTTTTTCAGCACTTTATTTGTTTTAAAAGTTGGGTTGTCAGAACCTGCAGCAGCAGCAGTCTGCCTTTCAGCTGCAGATTTTAGCAAGGATATTCAGTGCAACAAACTCAGTTAAGCTGTTGATTTTAAGAGAGAATCCTCTCATTTGTTGGATATTTTTCCTTTCTGTGTGTGTGTGTCCTGTGAGAATGTGTGTGGACAATAATAGATAACAGAGATGAGATACTTTGAAAGGGATTCTGTTGTTTATTGAGGTTAACTGTGGTCACTGAGTAACTCCTGAAACTTCAGTTTACCTCTGGAGACTGTGCCTTTTGTTAGCACCATGTCTGTGGTGCTGTGGGGCACCAAAGGGCAGGTGCCAGTTCTGTCTGGACTCAGAAAGATGCAGCCACAGAAGCTCCTGAGCTGGTTTCAGGGTCCCTTCAGTCTTTGGGTGGCAGGACCTGATCCAAAGCCCACCTACAGCCAGGCAAGAGGACTGTTTCTGGTGGGTTTTGAGTTAGTCCTTTAGAAAAGTTTCTTAAGAAGGCTTTGGATCAGGCCCATGGGAATGAGTTGAAATGGAGTGAGTTACCTCAGACTTTCTTTGAACTAAAAATCACAGTCATGCCTGGTTTTACTGCCTGCACTCCAGATGTACACAGATGTTCCTGTATCCAAAGTGTCTCCCTGTGCTAGAGCAGCATTCACTCCAAAGGCATTGTAGCAGAAAATAGTGTGCATATTGATGGCAAGGGGATGGGATTGCCTCTGCAATTTTATTGTGCAATAGATAGAATATTTCCTGTTAATTTTTTAACATCCTTTCAGCTGCATATGTGGAAAAGTCAGCATGTTGCAAATCTTTAGAGCCCAGTCCCAACCATGATGTGACTGTTTGTATTGCTACAGCAGGGCTGGTTGGGACCTGCATATAAAAGATTTTTTTCTTTAGTTTCTTTTATAAGTATCTATAAGGGTAAGCTGATATATAGGGAAAATACTTTGTTAGAGACCTGAGATACCTTCTGAGATTATTTTCTCTAAGATTTCTGAAATATTTTCTGGGATTATTTTCTCTAAGATTTCTGAAATATTTTCTGGGATTAGGTCACCAAATAGTAAAGATTTTACTAATCCACTGTTGGCATACTCATATGGCCAGTTTTGATCTCACTGTTAATATTTAGCTGGCATACAAGGAATGTTTTATAAAAGAGAATAATTTCATTATATTCAGCTATATGGAAGCTGTGAAATAGTGGAGCAGGGGGAAGAGGGATCAAGCACACAATGTTAAATGCTTAAAAAAGCAAAACCATCCATGTCTTGGGGGATGCCCTGCCCTGTAGTCCCACTTGCTCCCATTTCTTCAAGTATGAGTCAGTGTTTAAAGAAATTATTTAAGATTGTCATGACTGTGACTGAGAGCAGGATCTGTCCAATGCTCCCCAAGCACCCAAAATCTGTGAGAGCCCATGGTGCAAAGCAGCAAAGCCCAGTGGGTGTAAATGGAGATGTGCAGTTCTGACAGCTGCCAGTCTGGCTCTGGGAGGTTTTTGTTTCTGATGCAAAGAAGGAATGTGGGATGGCAGAGGTGAACAGAGTACTTATTTCATGTCATGAATCCATTGTGCCTTTTCACCTTAAACCATCAGCCTAACTAATTCTCATCACTGTCGAATGCTTTTGATTAGAATAGCCAAGAGGATAAAAGACAAGCCATAACCAGCCCTGACTGCAAACCTTTATGTATGAAATCTGAGAAGGGCAACAAATGGGACCGAGGGGGCTGGGTTAGGGCCAGCTGGCTGCTCCAGTCGATATCCAACTTCTGTTTGGATTATTTTAACCTGCTGCCAGAAAGATAAAAGCTGAACATGAGCCAGGCCTCTTAGGTTCAGATCAGCACTGTCCAAAATCCATAGGAAGCCCATTTTGTTTTCAGTAGCCGTGAGGTTTTGTTGTTGCTCCGTGCACGTGTAGCAGCACCTCCGGGAGCCACTCTTGTCCAGCCTCTGTGTTGTTTAAATAACGAGAAGAGTTTCTTCCTAAGCAAAACTGTGAGGAGCAGTGCGACCGACAGCCACAGTGAACTAACAGTGCATGAATCTCCGGGATCACCTGGCATTTCTCAATATGAAAAAAGCAATAAATAACCGGAGGCGTCGGGTCCGGTGCGGGGGATGCCGTGCCCGGGGCCCGCATCCCGCTGCCCCAACCGCGCTGAGAGGGCGTGAAGGCGCCCCGGGAGACCGGGGCCGGCGCCGGGCTCTGGTCCGGGCCGTGCCCCGGGGCTGACCCGCTGTCCCGGCCCGCAGGGGCGATGCCGGCGGGCGGCCGGGCGCTGCTGGCGCTGCTGGGGCTCCCGGCGCTGCTGGCGCTGGGCTGCGCCGCCCACACCCACACCGAGCCCGGGGGCGGCCCGGCCCCGCGGCCCGGCCCCGCCTGCCCCCGCGACTGCGGCTGCAGCCAGGAGGGCGTCGTGGACTGCGGCGGCATCGACCTCAAGGAGTTCCCGCTGCTGCTGCCCGAGCTCACCAACCACCTGTCGCTGCAGGTAAGGGCGCGCCGTGCCCACATCCCGTCCACATCCTGCCCACATCCCGTCCACATCCTGCCCACATCCCGTCCACATCCCGCCCACATCCCGCCCTCAGCCCGGCCCTGCCCGCTCCCCTCAGCCCGCTTCCCTCAGCCCCGCCCCGGCTGCCCACCGGGAGTCGCAGGTGCAGCGGGCGCAGCTCTTAAACTCGACGGATGGGCCTGGCTATCGGCACTATTCTCTCCCCTCAGATCCAGGGAGGGCAAAAGACACGAAGTTTTTCTCCTTAGTCTCTCTCAGCTTCATGAGAAGAATTTTTGTCCGAACTAAAAATAACTGTTTCTGGTGAAGGCCTTTCATTTTGAGGTGTCTTTGAGAAGGATGGGCTAAGTTACTTCAATAATGAGAATTTTCTGGGCAGCTCTGGCTGTTAGTGCAGGTGTTGCAGACACAGTGAACCAGAGCAGACACAGGGCCAGCCCGTGTTTCCTCGTGTCCTGTCTCTCCCTCAGCACACGAACTGAGCAAGGAGCAGGGGTGACACAGCCAGTGCCTTCCCTCACCCCCAGTGGCACTGCCTGTGGCAGGGACACCGATGTCATGCCTGCAGCAAATGGTTCCACTCCAGAGACCTTATGTCTTGTCAGGATAAGGACCTGTAAGATTGTGAGATTACAGCTTAAGGTAGAAGCAGCAGGATGTCCTGGACTGTCAGCAGGTTTCCATGCTCTGCTGTTAGTTAATTGATGCCTATGACCAGCATTTGGGCAGGTGTCTTTTCTGTGGCAGTGCTCTGACACCTGCAGGTGTGGCAGGGCCAGAGCATGGCAGCCCTGTGGCTGTGCCACCTCTGAGCAGCGGCAGCAGTTCCAGGATTTCCAGTGCCTTGCCCTTAATCAACTGCTTTTGGTCTATCGCTCCTATCTGCCAGTTCTATCCAACGGATGAAATGCAAATTTTGTTCAGAGCTTTCCAGTTAGAAAAATGGTAACGTAAGCTGGCACCTTCCTCAGCAGATCTGTCCCAGGCGTGTGCTAGCCATGGCTCCTGCCTCTGTTGCCAAAAGCAAAGCAGCTTTTTGGAGCAGCAGCTGTCACTTTCTGTGCACTGGCCTGGCTTCCAGCACAGCAGAACTTTAACTGGTCCCTTAGATGCTAAAATAGAATCACTCATTAATGGTCAAAATGTTAATCAACACGTTAATGAAAATCTGATGGCAGTCACCCCTGACAGTGGGACTAGTGAAGGTGAGCCCAGTTTGACACTCCCTGTCTGTGACAAGTGGCTTTTCAAACAACCCAGGGATAACAGAAGTGATAAACTTGGAAATCCACCATGCCAACCTTGTAGCAGCTGCTGTGCTGCAGCCACGAGGTTTGGCTTTGGCAGATGGATTATGGGCCTTGCCAGGCATAATCTCACTCTGTGTGCTACCAGTGCTTAAGGTATTGCTGGGGATGAGCAGAAGTTCAGGTCATCCAATGCTGCTGGGTTTGGATGTCTTGGTTTTGAGATTTGAGTATGGCTTATTATGGAGAGGAGTCCTGACAGTGATTTGGCATGGTGGAGTCACTTCCAGATTTTATTCACAGTCTGGTTTTACTGGGATCCTTCTTGGATTACATTGCTCATGATTAATTCTTTCCATTTTCTTAGAATAACCAAATAGAAGAAATCTTTCCAGAAGAACTTGCTCGTCTTTACAGACTGGAAACTCTCAATCTGCAAAACAACAGGCTGACTTCAAAAGGTGAGCTGGCAGAGCCATGGGGTGGACTGAGCCTCCAGAACACCAGTGACACCTGATAAAGAAAGCCACAAAGTGATGGATTGACTTGGTTGGAGTGGTTCTCTGCAAGCCTCGCTCCTTTGGCCATCACACAGATCGTGGAGACACTTTATCATCTGAAACACAAGACTCAGTGTACAAGAATGCAGCCGTGCTGAACCAGGAGGAGACCTGGCAGCAGCTCTGTGTGCTGTGGCGTGAGATCTCCTTGGCCAGGAAACTCCCTCTGGTCCCTCAGGCTCTTCCTTGCAATGCACTGGGGAACCAGAAACCTCCACGTGCTCAGTGATTTCCTCCTGACCGACCTCGTTCAGTTCAGTCTGGGCAGGCAGTTAGTGGAGTTCAGTCCAGTTCTAGCCTCCCTGAATTTAGTATATATTGCAAATAAGGACATTTCTACCCTCCCAAAACCATTCTGATTTTAGTAGGCAGGTTTTCCTTGCTCTGCCATATGCTTATGAGGGAAACTTGACAAGAAGTTAATAAGGAAAGCAAAAGAAACAGGAATTGTAGTAAATAGTAAGAAAGCATGATATGGGATACCAAAGATCTAATCGTTGTTAACTTGTGCATCACATTTACTTGTGATCTGAATGCTCTTGCTTTCCTTATTGCAATGTCAGAGGACAGCCTTTATTGAGAATGTGGGGATATTATCCCTGGGCCCCCGGGCACAGCACTCCTACACAGCATGGGGAAGGCTGTGCCTCAAAGGTTCAGCCTTTGATATTATTACCTTTGGGCCTTGTTCCTTTCACAAGCTGCAGTGCAGCCCTGAGCTTCCAAGGTGTTTTGACATGGCAAACGGCTTCACCTTTGACTCCTGGTTATCTCAGTGCCAGGGGAAAGTGTTACTTGCAGTGTTTCCATTGTGACTGCAACTGTGGTTGTGTGAGCAGCTGGATGTGGAGTGACTCAGCTGAAAATTGGTAATTCCTGGGGGAGGATAAGCTCTGAGCTGGTGACTGTGTGGATGGATCTATCTCTCTACTGTGGGGAGCAAGGGAAGGGTTGTGACATGCAGATACTGGTGTGATTTTGGCAATGTAGTCATAATCAGATCCATTCATTAAGCAACCTCAGATTATGCCCTTGCAAGAAGAAAGATTTGCAGAATCATAAGCAAAGTATAAAAGAAACTGCTCAGACAGTGTGGTTGCTGCAAGTACCGATAATCAGCTGTACTGGGGGTCTGCCCAGCTCTGTCCCTGACCCCGGCCAGGGGGGTTGGCCACAAGCCTTGTATGCTCAGCATTCCTAATAGCCTTCCATTGCTCTTAACAGCCAGTTTTGTTTTGTGGCATTTTTAATTAAAAAAAATAACAATAGGAGTGAGTCAGATTGTTTCAGTGGCCATAAAAAAATAGTTCAATTTCACACGAACGATACCTGAGAGAGAAAGCTGCCCCCTGGTATTTTCACTCAGAGGAGCAGTAAGGTGCCACTGTCACTGATTAGTTATTCCTGTTTTTAAGGGTTGCCAGAGGAAGCATTTGAACATCTGGAGAACCTGAATTATCTGTACCTGGCAAACAATAAGGTAAGTGGCTCTGAAACCTTTCAGAGTTCTTTTCCAAATTGGTTCTGGAAGTTAAATGAGCAAGTTGTCAATTCTTTTAAAATGTACATACTACATAAGCAAAGTGTGCTCAAGTGATATTCTAATACAGGGCCATCTAAGGTCAAGACAATCAGTACGTGCAACTGGTGAAAGGTTTTCTTTGTGTAGGGAGGTACAAAAAGCCTCTGCATGCATAAAATACCACTGTCTTCAGTGGGCTTTGGATCAGCTGCATGCACATTTGGTCCTGCCTGTATACAAATAAACTGTGAGGGAATGGTGTGAAACGCTGCCTATCTTATCAGATGAGGCTGGTTCAAAAATCTGAGAACAAACAGGTCTAGTACCTGTGTTTGAGCCATCAAGATCTGTCAAAGGCTGTCCAGTTTTCCCTGACTCCCATTCTTCTTAGGTTTGATATGGGGAGGATACCCACACACAGTGAACTGTGCCAGTTATTAATTTATTCTTTCAACTGCAGTGGCAGGAGCTGAATTGCTTTTTCTAGGGGAGAAGATCCTGAGTGCTTTCCTGTTACTGACCCCAGTTGGATGTCTTGACAGAAGCCCATCTTTCCTGCCAAGGCTAGGAAATCAAATAGCTTCTCACATACCCTTACATCTGGGTGGTTCCCATTATGGCTTTCTTTATCCCCTGTGATTGTCCACAATTATTTGTTACAGAAGAAACTGGGCTACCACAGAAAAATATAAGTTAAAACATCAGACAGAGCTTCTTTGTCTACAAAAATCCTACCCTTCCATCCCACCCTCCCTCTCTCTCTATATATATTTATGTCTTTATATATATTTTATTATCCTATTAAAATCTGGGACCATTTGATGTTTTGATTAAATACATGTGGCCCCATTCAGATTTCCAAGACACATCCAGAATCACTCCATACAGAAATGTATGGAGTGAGTGAGAATAGAACCCATTCCTCAGTACAGTAACATTGTGTTCTTTTCTCCCTTTCAAGCACCATTTCCATGTAACAGTCTTGGCAGTTAATAACCCCATAAAAAGGAACAAGCCAGACTGTGACTAATATTCCAGAACCTTGCACTCTGATTTTCCCCGTGTGACAAAACAAAGTGTTTGGTTTTTCTGGCTCTACGGCAGAGAAAAAAGAGTCCCAAAAGAAATTGCCAACATCAGCGAATGTCAGAAGCAGTTATAGTGAGAAGTTGTGCACCCACAAAAATAACACATTTCTTTATAAATCCCAAGCCAGGACAAACCAGATTGGCTTCAAACTGCAGGAAACAGTGCAGATCAAGTTACTGCGGTGTCTGGAGGAGAGCAGGGATTTGCTGGTAGTTTACTCCTTGTTTTATGGATTATCTTAATGCGTCTTTATCTTCCATTGTGATCCCATCAGATGTAGCTAAACCATCTTTCATTAAACTGGCATAGGTGGCCAGAGAAAAGAAATGTAATAAACTGAAAGCCTTCTGTGGGTTATGAGGGACAAGTACTTCAAGGAAAGAAGGGATGCAGTAGTTTCCTTTCTAATTTTTCACCCCATTCTCATGTTTTGTATCTCTCATACAGTATGCACAGTAAAGAAATTATTTCACCAAACTATAGGTCCTGAGTTGTCATGGTTTACTCTAAGCTGGTGACAGAAGGTTTTGCATTTCCTCATATCCCCAAAGTGATCCGGGATTCACCCGGATCCAAGACTTCTGTTTCATATCAAAGCTTGATCGAAGCAAGAAGACTTTTTTCAAAACTGGTAATAACTTTTGTATTAACCTTCTGAATTCATTAGCTAACAGTGGAGAAAACACTCTCTGGAAAGGCAGGTCCAGCAGTAAAGCTGCAAGGAAATTGCAGCTGGAGAAATGCAGATTGTTAGGCAATAAATTGGACAAAGCTGTTCAGTCAACTTCATTGTTGCTACTACTTATAACAACCTAGCATTAATCCTTCAAGCAGTCAACCAGTGGAATCAGTCTCATGACCGAGTGCTGAAATGCCAAAGCAAAGCCCTGAGCAAGTGAAAACTCTTTCCGGATGAAACTTCTCTTTCTCTTTCTTCTTTCTTGTGGTTCTGATGTCTCTCATTCCACATGTCTGAGCCATGCCCTTTGTTTTATGTAAAAGTTATGACCTAACTGACCATATTTCTGGAGAAGAGCTTTAATGTGCCACCCTGTGTGAAAATTATTAAGTCTTGTTTCCTGTGTCTGAATTCTCAACATTATTATGTCACAGTAGAGACTTATTTGAGGCACTGTCAGACCTTCCTAGTCAGAGAGAAAGGTTTATCCGGTTCCCTGGTAGCACATCTCCCACATCAGGAGAGGGAAGATTGCCATAAATCCAAGAGCTGCACTGTGGCAACTGCAGTAATGTGCAGGATGCCTAATTCCACTGCTTGTGTACCTGGGAATACTGACAGGAGTGTCATTTGTGGGAAGGGTCTTTTCTGTGTTGGTGATTTAAACAATTAAGACAGGCTAAGGATGGAGATTTCAGGACAGCTGAAAATGAAGAACAGTAAATAATGTACTCTCATCCTTGTTAAAGAAAGGACTGCATTATGAGTCCAGTAAATCGGAAGTTCATGGCTATAGTTCATCAATGCACACTTGACACACTAGATGGGTTTAGACACCCTTTAGGTAAATACATAGTTTAAGGCTTGGGTTAGGCAGTTCTCCAGTGAAATATCTGTTCTCTCACACAGTGTTCATATTTTAAATATTTTTGGTTTTATGCTATCATAAAAAATTTGAAAAATATGTTTTCTCCTCCTGTGAGTCTTGCTGTGCCTTGCTGGCTGAAAGGACGGGGCTCTGTTTCACACAACAGAGCTGTGAGGAAGAAGCTTCACAGATTCCATGAACTTCAAGCTGGATACAGATTTCATCGTCCCAATTTCCTATCCTGATCTCAAAGCTTTAGATGACAATGAATTCAGTATCTCACTAGAAAAGTTCTCTCCCAAGTGTACATAAAATATTGGGTGGTCTCAGCAATGAACACCTGTAACCACAGAGACTGCACCTGCCCACTGCAACTCAGTGCCTTCTGCTTCTGTGCCCAAGGAGTCTCTGTTACACCACTGTGTTAATAATTTGTCTCCCAAGGCCTTAATCTTCATGCAAAAATGTTAAGGGTTTATGCTTCCCAGAAAACGCTCCTCCAGCCTGGATTGTAACCTGTATTCCTGGTTTCCAGGTGAATGACTTTGCTATTAACAGCCACTCAGTGAACCTGGCTATTGCATTATCTGGAAGCTCTGTAAAACTGAGCTTAATTTGATCAGTGCTCTTCACTCCACCAGTTTGCTCAGATGCACGTGTTTCTGGTGTTATTTTTCAAAATCCCCGATAAAACCAGCAAGAGACCAAGAGGAAACACATTCAATCCTGTACCTGTTGTCAACTATTAAGTTTTGGAGACAGAACCTTTCTGTATTTTCTGATACATCACTTGTTTATTGAAAAGGTATCACTGTACAGTAGCTCTTGGCTTTGAAGTCCCTTTTGATAACCCAGCATTCCTGTTCTTTGGGAACCTGGATCCTCCATTGCAGAGATCCCCATAAATGGATGCAATGGAACAGATACATGAAGTGACAGTCACCCTCCCTAAAACCCTCTCAGAAGGGAGTAAGCAGTAGGTCACCGTGAGGTGGGCTGGAGTTTCTTGGCACAGCAAACCAAGGAATTAGGAACAATAATAAGCAAAGTGTTTGCTCTCTGAATAACAATCTCTTGATATCTTCCACCAAAAAGAGACAGGACTCTTCCAACCCAAACAAACATTCTCATATCTTAGAGCAAAAGCCTGTCTCCTTCCTGGAGAGATTAGTGAGTGGGGACAATTTGTTTTTGTTCATGCAGTCCACATCAGTTTAATTTATTTTTGACCATTTAGAGAAGATAAATTTGCAAGTGTTTTATTGCTTGTCTAGTACTTGGTTAAAACATTTGCTGCATTTAATTTGAATTCCCCTGTATATTTCTTTTCCAGCTAACAGTGGCTCCGAAATTCCTACCAAATGCCTTGATCAGTGCAGATTTTGCAGCCAATTATCTCACTAAGATATATGGGCTCACATTTGGACAGAAACCAAACCTGAGGTAAGGGACTGGGAAGTAAAACAACAGTGTCCTGCCACTGCTTGGATACAATTGGTGGGTGATAAGAAACTATCTGGCTAAGCCATGTCATTGCCCACTTGTGTTTTTTGGAGAGAAGTTGACTGTTTATTATTCTCAGCATGAAAGATCAAATAATCTCTCAAACAAACACATTCCAAGGGCTTTTACTGGCTGCCAGACCCTTTTGCATATATAAAATGAAGTTGTCCCCCTTTCATCTGTGTGTCAGTTAAGAGTTGAAAAGAACAGCTTTAGTTTCTCAAAATGGAGATTAATGTTTAGAAATCTCTAGTTTTATTCTAGTCCACTCATTTTTAAGAATAAAATGGGGTGGAGGGCGCAGTACTCAGTGCAGGTGAGTATAACTCAATTCCATGAAAGCTTCAGCACCTTCAGAAGTGGCTCATACCCTCAGACCTGGTGTCAAAGTCCCTGCTGGTTTCAGGTGGGGATTTGCTCAGCTGGATCCAGTGCAGCACATTGGCCCATCCCAAATTCAGATGCACACAGACTACCTCCTGGGAGACAGGGGCTTTTCCAAAGGGGCTCTGAGTAATCTGGATGGGCACTTGGCAGCAAATCCTGCAGAGACCTCCCAAACTCTGCTGGGAGCAATTTCTGCAGCCAAGTTTGGAAGCAGTTGATAGCAGCTGACCCAGCTGAGCCCCTGCAGTCCGATCTTGTGATGGACTGAACAACTCTCCATTCCCACTGCAGCTCCTCTGCACTTACTGGGCCTTTTGTCTCTTGGGCTCTTGGAACCTGAAAAGGCTGAGTCACTCACACATTTCTGGCAATATCTCATGATGAAAGAAACCACATTTACACGTTTTCTTCCTTAATCTGAGGTGCAGAAGCTGCTGTGTTTTGATTTCATATTGAAATTACTGACTCTTCTGAAGTGATTTTCACACTCTCCTATACCAACACTAATTTTAATCAGAATGGGAACTCCCTGATTTCCAAGATTGCTGATATAAAATCCTAACACAGTTTTTTCAGTTGTTTTAATTTCCCCCAGCGGAGTTCATGGTCTCAGACTGATGATTTGGAAAGCAAGGTTTTCAGAAGGGCAAATATTTGTGAGTTAAAAGTACAGCTGACCATGCAGGGTAAACAATATTTCCAGTGTGGCTCTGAACTCCCTGGAGTGTGTGATCACACGATTGTATTTCCATACTGAGCCTTTCCTTCCTTCCAGAAGGATGTTGCCAAGTTCTCTGCAACTGGTGGAGAATCCAAGAACAAGTTGAAAAAGCACACTTTGATACTGTGCTCTTTTGCAGTTTTAACCTGTCTCTACAAATTTGGCTGCCTGCTGCATCTTGGGGTAAACACAGGAAAGGGAGAGGGAATCAAAGTCAGTAAAAAGAAGTCAAATGAATTCATTTAGTTGAGCCAGTGAAAAGCAGGAATAACTTCATAGGGGTCCATTGTTTTGTACAGAACTGAAAGCTGTATAAGAAAGAATGAATCAATTTTTGAAAACCTGCTTGGAAAAACTCTTCTGTGCATATTAAAGATTTAAAGTAAGAAGAGCAAAGGGAAATAAGAAACCCTATTTCTCTCCATCCCAGAGGCTGATTAAAACCCAGAATTCTTCCAGACTAAATCTGCTGTCTTTCTGTCGGTATCTTATGCTTTTCTGAGTTCTAGGAGAGATACTGAAATTTGTATTCATGTGCAGGTTTGGATTTTGAATAGACCTAAATTTCAGAGAATATTGAGACCAGCCACTCAGTGCTGCATCTACATCCCTTCCTAAATTAAAGGGTACATTTTAAAACCAAATCCAATTAACTCAAGGAAAGAAGAAAAGATTGAAATTTAGTTCTAAACAGCTTTCTCCCAGGAAAAAAACCAACTCCATACCTCACTATCTGTTGAACTTCATCTTTTATCTCCTTCCCATAGATCTGTGTATCTTCATAACAACAAACTTTCAGATGCTGGGTTACCTGATAACATGTTCAATGGCTCTGCTAATGTGGAGATACTCATCATGTCCAGCAATTTCTTGAAGTATGTTCCAAAGAACCTCCCTCCAGCACTGTATAAATTACACTTACAGGTAATGACAACAAAGTTTTGTATTCCTTTAGGGTTGTGACAAAGTTCTGTGTTTGTGTGGGATTCAGCCCACACAGCCAAGCCATTCCAGTGCACTTGGAAACATCCCCAGGCCCATTTTCAGTCTTCTCTGCTATATCCTCAGCTGTTGCTGTCTCCCATGTCCTTCCTTTGTTGTCCATGAGTAACTGTGTGTTTTTGCAAAACACCAAGATGCTCAGAGGGGACAGAAATGCTTTTCTGTGTTTTCAGGGTAACATAATTGCAAATGCCTGTGTGGTGGCATTGTTGGTCTCTTCCCTGCAAATAATGATATTAATACATAGTAGAGCAAGAAGGTGGATCATTCTCCAGTTGAGTTTGCCACTGGTGCTGTTTTTCCTGACAGCTGCTTACCCACCATGTGCTGGCTTTGCTCACTAACTCCTTTCACACAGACAGTTTCCCAGCACCAGTGACTCCTGTTTGCTACTGCCCTGGCAATTCAGACAACTTTGGATCAGTGATTCTCTGCAGCTACAGCTTCTCCAGCAACAGTGCAATAGCAGAAGTTATGGTATGAACTTCTCTCCAGCATTTTTAATTCCATGTCATCTGATTTTGATAAAAAGGCTTCATCCTGTCTGTGCTGGAGATCCCAGCCCTGTAACAGTGGCAGAGCTGCAGCGGTGGGGAGCCCTGGATCTGCCTGCTCCAAGTGCTGACAGCTCCTTGGACGTGGTTAGGCTGGAGTCTGTTATCAGCCCCTGCACTAAGGCAGTTCTCTGCTGCCTCCCAACTCGCTTTTCCCTTGAAGGTTTCACCACTAATTCCCGTTAAAGTCTTCTAGAGAACAGGCTTCTGCAGCTTGAAGAGCAGTAAAGGCGATCAGTCCGATCCTTTAAATCACTGGAATTTCTCTGCAAAGTATGAATTTATTAGTCCCTTGCATTTTTTGGACATTTATAGGTAATCACTGTCTCCCAAAGGGATCTCAGACTCTGAGGATTATGGTTTGAACTTGTCTCCTTCCCTGCTGTTCCCAGTTGTGTTAAGGGCAGAGATGCTGAGGAGAGAAATGAATGTTTTATTTGCTGTTCCAGCAGTTACATTTACCTTGATATTTTGACTGGGGGAAAACAGGACAATGGGAAATGAGAGACAGCCAATAGTGGACCAAAAGTGTCTGGGAGCTGTACTTATGGTGTGACAGATCTTTTTTCTTTTACTATTCATTGAGACACTCGGCCAAATCTATCTTTGGTGATTATCTACATTAGCTGGCACATGCATCTGGTCCAGTCTGTCCATCCCATTATTGCATGTACATGGATCAAGGGAATTTTAATAAGTTCAGTGTCAGTGTTTTATATATCCTTTTATATTTCCTAGAATTCCTGTATAGAATTTCTAAGTGGCATTTAGTTTTATATTTCATTTGTGTCTGCCTGCTGGCTACTCCAAAGCCACACTAAGGCCATGGGAGTAATTAAACTCAGGAACTGTACCTCTGGGAATGACATTAATGCTGGAAGGATGGCTGATTCCCAGCTTCCAGCCTAATTCTTCTTTATGGTGAAATCTGTCTTACAAGACCCAGAAATTCTGAGCAAACTCCCGAGGTGGTTGCCTAAATTGCATTATACATTGCACATAGGTGGAAGACTATGAATGCAAAATAAAACTGTCTGGCAGGCACAGAGCAAATTCTGCCTCCTTAGCCCAAAGGTTCCACGGGGAATCAATAAAAACAGTTTGTATTATTTCAGCCTGGTATTTGTATTTATTTCTTCAGTGGGATTGTAATGCCCCCTGAAATATCTTATGTCTAGCCCTCTTGAAGGTTAATTGCCTGTGTCGATTCATGCCAAGTAATGTGCTTTGTGCTCTAGAGCAACAAGCTGGAGAAGATTCCCAAAGGAGCCTTCAGTGACCTCACAGGTCTGCGGGAGCTGTACTTACAGAACAACTACCTGTCTAATGAGGGGATGGACAACGAAACCTTCTGGTGAGACTGAGCTGTGCCGTTTGTACCTCTGTGTCTGTGCCCCCTGGGGTACAGCTGTACATCCACTGAACACAGGACACCACACAAACCAAATTTGTTAAAAGCTGAATGACACTGTGCATTTCCCTGCTGGCTCTCAGATGCTGCCACTCAAAGGCAGAGGTCTGGGTGAGTGGTTGCAGAATAGTTTTGTACAAAAGGCACAACACTGAACATCAGACTGCACCGCCCCCTGACTCCACAGCCCCATTCCCAGCAGGTACTAAGTGCCCTCTGGGAAAAGCCACCTGGAACAATGTTGGCAGCCAGCCTCTGTTCTTCCAAACCAGTCAAAACTGAGGTTGCTCTGGACTTTCCAGTTTCCAGAGCAGTTCACTGGAAGTCAAGGCCAGACTTTCATCTTTGCTGAAGTCACTTCTGTGTTTTCGTGAAGGTGACTTGAAAGCAGCCACAGACACACAGTTGTGAATTGACCTGGCCCAGCTGTGCCCCAGTGCAGGGGACTGCAATGGTGCTGCTCAGTAGCCAGATGGCTGCAAAAGCTTTGCTACAAACTGGTGCAACAGAAATAGCCTTTGGCTGTCCTAAATTTAGCCTGGGACTTAGCACTTGGAAAAGTTAATGGTTATTTCTCTGCCTGCTCTGAGTGTTGCCCTTGTTTTACCTGAAAATCCAGACCACATAATTGGTCCTGCCCATAACTTAGTTCTGCAAACTTTCCTGATCTCCAGACATGAAAATGCATCAAACTGTGCTTTCATTTTCCATTTCCCATTCCTAGAAACCTCCCTTAATAGTTCACTACATCTGTCTTGAGTCCACCTCCAGGTCATGTTGGACATATAATCTCTGTTAAGAAGTTCCCAAGTTGGGGAAACCTTACAAATTGCAGCAATGAAGCTCTTTACCCAAAGAATCTATCTATTCATTCAGACAATGCTTGGATAGTTGTGAACAGCAATGTAGTAACCAGTAAGTAATTTCTGTAATGCATTAGTTGTCACATTTCCTGGACACTTCCTAGTCACCTGCGATGGGTTGTGTAGTGCCATGCAGATGGAAAGTCTCATTTGAACTCAGAAACTGACTCGAAATACAGGGAATCCAGGATTCCTCAGTTCTGGCATATAATACCATTGATCCACATCCAGTTGGTATAAGTGGTTGAACTGAGGATTTAATTTAGCTTCAACTGAGACCATGGAATCCAGATTCAGTAGCTTACACAAAGCAGCTCTAGTCCTAACTCACTTCCATAATGCTGGAGGGTCAGGAGGAGTTCACTACCTTAGCCCAGGACACTGAGTTAGCGTTTCTGCTTTACATAAGAGGAACATTTCATCATCTAAAAAGCAGACCTGCTTTTCAGTTTCAGTATATCCTTTCAGAGAGACAGAAATGACTCCTGCTCAGGTTTTGTTTCTTGCTCTGATGGCTCTCCCATGGCACCTTCCTCATGGTATTTCTCCACCGAAAGTGCTCCTGTGTTGCTGTCGGTGGTGTCAAAGGAGAGAACAGAGACTGCAGAACTCAGCCCAGTGGCAGTTTGGATGTCTGTGGGCTCTGGCAGGTTTCTGTGGCTGGTGTGGCTGGGGAGCAACGGCAGTGCCCAGTCTGAATGCCTAATGGCGATACAGGAGCTCCCTGTTTTACTGTGCTCATCTGTCATACCAGGAGACAAAAAGGACAGTCAGTAGCGGGAGCTGTCCTGGGTAAAAAGACTCTAAAGCAAAGATTGTAAAATCCTAGGGGAAGTTGGTTATCATTTCACCTTGCCAAATTCTAAATGGAGAATGTTTTCTTTCCTTCTTTCCCAAGGAAATTGTCTAGTCTTGAATACCTGGATTTGTCCAGCAATAACCTCTCACAAATCCCAAGTGGTTTACCTCGAAACATCGTCCTCCTCCACCTGGAGAAGAATGCAATTAAGGTGATTGACAGAGATGTGCTGACCCAAATTAAGAACCTGGAGTACCTTCTGCTCCACAATAACAAACTAAAAGCCCGAGGGATTCACCCATTAGCCTTCCAGGGCTTAAAAAAGCTGCACACTGTCCACCTGTACAACAACATGCTGGAAAGGATTCCCAGTGGGCTGCCCCGGCGCGTCAAAACACTTATGATCCTTCATAACCAGATCTCTGAGATCAACAGGAATGACTTTGCTACCACTTACTTCCTTGAAGAGCTGAACCTGAGCTACAACAAGCTCAAAAGTCCCCAGATCCATCGGGAGGCCTTCCGTAAGCTGAGGCAGCTAAAGTCCTTGGATCTTTCTGGAAACAATCTCCACACAGTCCCCTTTGGCTTTCCAAAGAACTTGCAGGTCCTGAAGCTGAAGGAGAACGAGATAAGCATCATCCCAAAAGGGACTTTGTCTGGCATGACAAAACTGCGGGAACTCTATTTGAGCAACAATAAACTGAAAGTAAATTCAATTTATTCAAGAGCTTGGAGAGAACTCAGCAGTCTCCAGGTAGAAACAACACCTTCTCTAGTTGTTGTAGTGATGCTGATGTCCTTGTCTGTCTGCCTAAGCCAAACTGCATAACACCAGTACTAGATGTGCTTGGGCTTGCATTGTAAGTGCTACACACTCTGTTCTAGACAGAAATGATGTGCTGTTGTGCCAGAGGTGGGTACCTCCCACTGCTGGCCAGGGCACTGGCCCACTATGGACTGCTAATTCCAGGAAATGTAAAGACAGCTTTGTTTCTGAGCCCTAGCAGTGTCCTATATTTTCAGATAAACATTAGCGAATGTTGTCATTAAAACTGAAATTAGGCCTTTCAAATAGCTTGTCTCCCAAAAGATTTAAAATCAGCTCTGAATAGAGACAGCAGGAGGAAGGAATGCATAAACAAAAACACTCTTAATTCTCAAAGCCCCCACATCAGCTTATAGTCAGACAGGCCAAGCTGTAGGATTTAGCAGCTCAGCTGGCTAAGGCACCTGGATAGCAGCTAGGAGGTCTGGATTCAATCAGCAGTCTTCTCATTTGCTTAATTGTTGGAGAAAGTTAAACACAAACCATAAGGCAGGCTGGAACAATCACATTTGTGCTGTGCAAGATGACCTTTCACAATCATTACACTGGCTGAAGGATTAGTCTGCATTTCCTTTCAGGCAACAGCCCCTTTCCTGCAGTGGAAAGCATTACCTGTGTCATAGGGCAGCCACTGCGGGTTCGTGTGGTCACTGTGCAGGCAAGGAGTGCCCATCCCAGAGCAGGTCAGGGACAAGGGGCATGGAGCATGTGGCACACTGGCCCCAGTGTGTGTCCAGACAATCCAAACGTTAATCTGTGTGAACATTGCCCTTTCTGTTGTTTCTGGGACTAAACAATAGCTTGTTTTTCAGTTAATATGAATCAGCAATGCAGCAACAGTATCTGCAGAGCTGTTGGTTTGCATCAGCTGCAGATTTGGCCCATGGTTTAGTAATACACTTGGCATTTGTTTGGCGCCTCACTTACATGTGTGTGTGTGTGTGTGTGTGTGTGTGTGTGTGTGTGCAAATATACCTAACATGAAAAGTAGTCTGGAAGGAAGGTGCTGTTGAGAATTACAGATGCTGAGATTGTTTTTCTGCAGTACCTTAATAAAAATATAGGTTGATTTATTTTCAAACAAAATTGGGTCATAAGATCTGTTAGGCAGCTTGACTTGGTTGGAGTAAGCTTTCCTTCTTGTAGGGCCCATTCCAGCTACTTCATGGTACTTTTATTCCACTGTCACTCCCGTGTCACTCCTCAGTGTCAAGCCACAGTAACATGCTGGAGAATCAAACACTGGCCCTGCAGTTGGACCTACCCCCCAGCAAACCCCATTCCCATCAAACAGGAGCACGGACTTAAAACTCCGTGGGACTAATGGTGCATTTTTGGCTGGTGCTTTTCTTTGGAACAGCGTTACTGTTGGTCAGTTGTTTCCATTATAGTTATGGCTGAATATTTTTTATCATTAAGGGCTTAACTGTGCTAGTGGTTTCTGAGTTGGTGCACTGGAGTGCATTGGACTGATAACCAGCACATAAGATCCTGACCGTGCAGGTGCTCAGTAAAGGCTTCAGTCCTCACCGTTTCCATGGAAATCACTGCAGACTTTCTGCAACTGCAAAGCAAGACTTTTACATAATGCACTTGGCAGTGCTGGATTAACAGTTGGACTCAATGATCTTAAAGCATTTTTCCAACCCAAACAATTCTATGATTCTACGATAATTGTTTGCCAGACTGGCATTGTGTGGAATAAAAACACTGGAACCATGTTGTTTGCAAAAGTGTAGCTTTGAATAGTGTGTAAGTAGTGTGTGTCAGCTTAGTGCTATGAAAATGCTGCAATACAGGGTAACAGAACACTGCTCTTGATCTGTTCTCTTGCATGAAATTAAACAGAGGAGTGCTAATGACCTTTAGTCCTGATGTCTTCCTCCACGTTAGAGTATTTCCAGATGTTTTTATGTGTAGCTGTACCTAGTCCCTAACCTTAGCCAGGGAAGTGTTTGCAGTAGCAGCTTCCAAGGAATTCTCTTGCATATCTCAAAGCCAGCCTGTTTTTAATTTACCTAAAGCAGGCATAGGCTAAAGCCTGGGGACAGAGATAAAGAAATGTTGGAGCTCCAAAACAAACCAGCATGAGGTCTGATGTGAAATCAGGATGCTAAACAGCAATGTAAGAGAGTAGAACTGTCTTGGCCACACTTACCTAGATGCAAATTAGAGGTAGAATAAATTAGTTTATGCTATAATAAATATCACTTCAAACTTAAATCTCTTCTGGAGTGTTTCTAATATTTAAATTCAGTTATTTATTTGCCTCCTGGTTGTCTCTTTTGTCTCTTCCTTGCAGTCACTAGACATGGCTGGCAACCAGCTGACCTCCATCCCACTGGGCCTGCCGGAATCTCTGGAATATCTGTATCTCCAGAACAACAAGATCACAACGGTTTCAGAGCATGCTTTTGAATCCACACCCAAAATAAAGGGGATTTACCTCAGGTAAGGTCCAGTTTCCACTTAAAACCATAAGATTTGTTTTCTTCTTTGTCCCCTTTATAATTGCTTACTTTCTAGGAAGTGTTTAATATGCTAACTTTCTAAATAAGCAACTTTGTTTTATAGTAATATGTGAGGAAACGATGTTCATCTGCTCAGGAAAGACAGGGATACATATAATAAGCTCTTTCTGTTCAGAGAGCTTGTCTTTTCTGTGCTTATTCGAATGGATTGGCATGTTAGTAATTCTAGGAAATTAATGTTTAACATTGTGTCATATTCCAATATTCAACTGTGAGCCAGAAGTTTACAGCCCACTTGTAGAAGCGCAGCTCTGCCTGTGCCTGTTGGCCCTGGATTTTGACAAAACCCCCCTCTGGTGAGGGTGTGTGACTGACCTGGAAGTTGTGCACATTCCCTTGATAGTTTTGTCAGAAAAAAGTGGCAAGTTACAACTGTGACAGTTACGTAACTAAGATTAGAAGCTTCACTGTTTTTTTTCCCCACTCTATCAGTTGGATGAGGATGTTTTTTTATAGGATACTGATCTTTTTTACATGTACTGTAAACTCACAGTAATGTAACTGATTTAAGCAGAGCTTTATACCACAAGAAGTGAAGCAAGAATCTGTCCCACTAATATATTCAGTTTTAAACTGATGGCATATTACTGAAAATATTTATTAGAATTATCTTACCAATCCCTACAGAATCTTTGATTCAGCTGATCCAGTGGATGTGTTCAAAAAGCTTAGTCTGCACAAGACTAAATATGGTCTTATTTTGTCTGTATGCAGCTAAAGTGCCCTGTAGTTCTGAATAATTCTGGAGCATACCTTTTTGGATGAATGACTCCATACCAGGCAAATGAAATTACAAAGTCTGGTGTAAATTAGAGCAGTCTGTCTATTCAGCTGCTCACATTTATGAGATTTTAGTGAATGCTTGGATGTGAACCAGAAACCACATACCACATTCTATATTTCTATATAAAGAAGAGAGGAATTTGCAAAACAGTTTTGCTAACATATTTAGGAGGCAACTCCACCCAAGCTAAGTCGTATTTTTTAATGGGAGACTATTAATCACTGTGAAACAATAACATACATATGGAATATTAGACAGAATATGATTTTAAGCGTGTTCACAAGTCGCAGACCAAGCAGTAAATGTGAGAGGTTCTTAAACTGCAGATTAGTTTATTCGTGCTCCTGGAAACACAAATAACAGCTGAAAAATTGCCGCTTGTTGTTTTCTTTCCTAAGGAATACTTGGTACCAATATTTAGAGTTTTGAGGGTGAAGAATTGAAGTATCAAGGGGTGACAGAGAATCTTACGAAAAACCAAGCTACACTTTGAAATGTGGGTTATGGAGCAGATGACTCTCCTCTTTGGGAAGGAGAAGGCAGAATAGCAAGAGAAAGAATTTTTTTGGGAGGAATTCCAATATAATGATTTTGTCTCCTTCCCCCATCCAGAGGAGTCAGCACTTCTGGAGTGCTGTTGTGGGTCAGTGTAAAGATAGAGAGTAACTTGGGTCAGTGGAAAGTTAGAGGAACTCTGCAGAATGGTTTCCTCCAAGTCTCCTCATTTCTGTGTTGGATATAGAAAATGGGTTTATTTTAACAGAAGGGCCTTTTTATTTGTTTACAGGTTTAATAAGATTGCAGTTGGAGCACTGAAAGAAAGTACCTTCCAAAGCCTAAAGCACTTACAGGTACTGGACATTGAAGGGAACCTTGAATTCAGCAACAGTTCAAAGAATAAGGATGATTCAGAAGAGGAAATGGAAGATGAGGAAGAGGAAGAAGAACTGAGATAAAATGTGAACTCACACAATCACACCACGTGGGAGGTAACAACTGTAGTTCAAGGATCTAATTCTCAGACTTTTTTACAAATAATTCCCATTTACACATGTGATTAAAGCATAACAAGGGTGATCGAGCCCTGGACTCAAAGACTTCCACTAAAACATGACTCTGAATTGCAAATCAAGAAGGGTTGGAAATAAATTATTTTGTAAAATGAAACAGTCAGTATATATCTGTGTTTTATCAGTGGCAGTGGATTGTTCACAGTGGCTTCTGCTTATGGCCACAGCAGGCACAACAGTTAAATATAAAGGTCCTTGTTTACTAATTCTGATAACAAAAAATGAAAAGGTATCTCATGATAACTTTAAAGCAGGTAGTTCAAAAGGAAAACAAAGAACAAACTGTGAAGTTTACTCATGCAGAGGCCCATGTGAAATGGATTTAAAAAAATTATGCAAATTAAAGTAAGATTAGACTCACTGTCTGTTAAACATGGCATTAAGATTACAGCCTGTCTCAAGCAGTACTTAAATCACTGACCACTTGGAGTGGGAAAATAATGCTATACTTGGTCTATTTCCTATGGAAAGAATAGTCTTTCTAGTTGAATCTCTTATACTCAACTGCAGAAGAAAAGATGAAGGGAGAATAAAGTTTGAAGAACATGCATTTTTCCATAAGAATAGTGATCTGCTTAATGTATCTCTTAAGCGTCTTATATTCAAAGACGATGAGGTTCAGAATACTCTTTACTTCTGGAGGTTTAAACTTTAAGAGTGGAAAAAGAAAATTAGCTTTCTCCCTAATCAACATTTTGTCACGGAGAGTGACATAGGGAATTGCTAGGAATAGTGCTAATACGCTTAAAAGATGATGGGGCTTGGAAAGGGCAGAAGCTCCTTGGAAAGTCAAGCATCAGACCTCGAGGCTGGGCTGTATGAAGACTTTGTGAGGGAAGAAGTAATTTATATCTGCAGACTTAGAGGACATATAACTTCAAAATCAGTGTATCTGCTTTAGTTTGGGGCACGTGTAAGTTTATCTTACTCTGAATTCTGTATTGCACTATGTAATCTATTTTATTTTTCTGTTTTGCAGGAAAACATATGGAAAATTACATATATGTCTATGTGTATATATCTCTCTAGATATACAGAGAACACTTAGCAGAACGTGCAATGAATTCCACAGGAACTGTCGTGGCACTGAGCCAGGCTCATGGAAGACAGTGTGTTACAGTGCCTTATTCAGGGAAAGACCCTGAATGCCTTTCCAAAGCTTCCAGATCATCTTATACAAGACCCAGGATCATAAGGGATTGCTCGGGAACTCACAAAAGCTGGCTTTTGTTTCTTCTGTTTCTCTTCCTTCACTGTTTCCATCTGTAATATGGGACTGTTTTCAACACGTGCCTTCAAATGCCATTTTTGTCACTGCATTTTAAGTGAACCATGTGTAAGCTTCTTTTCTTTCCCTCCACCCCAGAGAAGCTGTTGGTGATCAGGCAAGGTGAACATTTGCGGTAGTTTCATGTGTGGAGCAGTGTTATGAGGCATTTTGGTCATCAAGCAACACTAATAATTCTGGATGCAACTATTCCTCTGTTATAACAATGTGTATATTTGGATGAGAAAAACAAAGTAAGGCTGGATCCCATAATATTTTATCTCTACTGCCAAAGCCTGCAGTATATTCCTGTTTTAGAAAGGTTTTAAGATAAAACTATTTCTCTTGTGAATATATATATATATATATAAAATCTGTATGTCTGCCTTCCAGAGCTTTGGTAGAGTTTGTTTGCTCTTGTTTGCCCGTGTGGCAGTTGTGTGAATGTCTCTGAAGGTATGATGAGAGGATGGAATGACAGTGTGAAGTGTAATGTATGTGGCTGGGTTCTTTTACATAGTGTATCTTACTAAGAATCAGGAGTGAGACTAATGATGTAAAAGAGATAAGTGAGTGTGTGTCAAGAGAAATTTCTTTATTTAGTTCAAGTCTGGAGGCAGTGCCCGGTGCAGTACTCTCTTAAAGCCTCACCTATTTTCATGATGTTGAGTACTCTCAGCTCCTGGTGTAGTCATGGAAAATAAGGAAACCAAGGAAAAGAAGACCCACAGAGGTACCAGTTTCTTAGTTGATTATAATGTCCTTCATCTGAGGCAGTTAATCTGCCTGAGGAAATGGTCTTTTCTTTTGAGGATTTCTGACTGAACACATGTTGTTTTGCATACTGCATTCCAGGATTTACTTGGAAACACAGTTGGCTTGATTTTTTACCAGCTGTTTTCCTGCTGGAGATCTAGTTCCACACTCTCCCTTTGGTTCCCTTAGCACATGACAGTAATTTCAAGCTGTTTCCTACCTTAGACAATTCAACACACTCATCAATCATAGAAGGAAAGCAAAACCCCACATTTTTGAATAGCAGCTATACAGCTGAGCAATAAAATAGCCTTCTTGACTGCTGGGATAGATTCCTACATAAAATGTTTACAGAAGTAGCTCAAGTCAACTAGCTATCTCCAGCAAACACCAGTGGAAGGTTTGTTAGTCTTTGGTGACACAGAGCAATTTATTAAACTGAACAGGCTGATGCAGATTTGTACAGTTTTGTGGAGAACTGTTCTATTATCTTTAAACTTCTGTCCCTTACACTGTGCTTCTGTGAAAAGTCAGGAGCCTCAGACTTCCTCTGAATCCCTTGAGAGTCTGATGCAGTGAATGCAGAGTGAAAGTACATTTTAACACCTGTAGAGCAGGCCCAAAATGTCAGGATAATACATGCACTGTTAAACTTCTTTAGCAAGCAGCAGCCTTTGCCAAAGGAGACCCACCTACAGTTGAACGAGTGTATCATGTAGACCAGGCAGTTAGGAAACTCGTCCAAGTTTATTTCAAAATAAATCCATGCTGTCCTTTAAATGGGACAATGTTTTCCAGCAGAAAAAAAAAAAGACAGCCTTCTTCCCCAGTAAAAGCCTAAAACCATATGAGAGGAATGTATTTTGATTGTTGTGGAAGAGACTGATGAGGGAGAACCACAGGTCTGATTCCTCACTTACCTAGTGTCATCAGCACCTACGACATTGGACATAATACTGTCAAGCCAAAATGGCTTATTTCTTTTAAAGGAGTAAGAGGCTTGATGAGAGATGTTGAGAAATAGTCAGAAGTCCATGGGACTAAGCCCACATATTTTTTTGACTGTGGGTAGTAGCCATAATCCAAAGGTCCAACTTTGGGTGGAGCAGGACCCATGAACAGGCTTTAATTTTATTTCTTTAGGGAAAATGAGAGTTGGGAAACTGGAATTTTCTTAGGCCACAAACCGGTAACACAAATGTTCTCATGTAACTTTCTTCCTGTGAATTGCTTGGGTTTGGGAAAGAGAATAGAAAGATTTTAAGGCTGAGATAGATATTTGAATAGTGAAAACTTGAAGTCTAAAATATTCAGTTGGCAACTTTATCCTTAAGTATGCATTTTCACGGGCTTGGTATTTCTGCGTGGTCTGTATGGAGGAGTTTATTTGCTGTTTTGCTTTTAGAAATGGGATTTTTCCAAGCTATGATTTTTCACAACAACCGGAGTACAAATGCAGCATGTGAGCTAGAAAGAACTAATCAGGTGCCAAAAATAGCCCCTGGATAATGAGCTTTTATTGCAGACGGTGGGCACATATCCCATCTGTGTCTCCATGTGGACGGGCCATTCTGCAGCCATCGTGCCCCTCGTCCCTGTTCCTTTGGGGTCCCCACCCCATGGCCAGTCATGCTGCCCCTCATCCCTTTCTTTGGGGATCCTCACCCCATGACCAGCCATCCTCCCCCTCACCCCCTTCCTTGGGGGTCCTCGCCCCATGGCCATTCCCTCATGAGGAATAGGGCACCCACCCAGGGTCTGCTCCCTGCCCACTGCCGCCCTCTCCTCGCTCCTGCCCCACACGGCTCCCCTCGGGGAACCCCATGGCTTGGTATTTGGGCGTTTCTGGGAAGAAAGGCCCAGGATAGCTGTTTCTTCCCCACAGGTATTATCTGCCCACACAGCATCTCCCCTGGGTGCTGTGAGGGGCTGGGGGTCAGACTGGATCCCGGGAGCCCGTTTTCCTCTGCTTTCCACGTTCACACCCCTAGAGGGCTCCTCCTGCTGTCCCAAAGGGGCAAAAAAGACCCCCAGAGGCGCGGTCGCCATCCCGCCGGCCGTGAGGGAGGAGCGGCCCCGGTTCCTCGCTGGGCAGGGAGGTGGCACGAGGCCGCGGCGTTCCCGATGCCAAGATGGCATCTCTGTGGGCCCCTCTGGAAGGAACACCGTGATCCCGCTGTCCCCAGGCTCGGCTGGCAAGGAGGGGTGAGTTGTGGGGACACCAGCGGCCATGTGGGCAGGGCGGGAGGCAGGTGAGGGGCGGGGGGGGTCGAGCGCCTCAGTGGTGTGGTGAGGGGGGTCGTGTCTGTCTCGAGGGCCTCACGCACCGTGCTGTGGTGGTTGGGGTCTAAGTGTTATATTTAATGAAAAAGAGGTGCTTTCTGCAGTATGTAGATATTCTTCTGAGGAAAAAATGAGTTAAAAACCTTTTTTTAATTAGGCAAGATGGGGCAAGACCATTTACAAGAGCGTGTAGTGACAGGACAAGGGGGGATGGGTTCAAGTTGAAAAAGAGTAGGTTTATGTTAGATATTAGGAAGTAATTCTCTACTGTGAGGCCCTGGCACAGGTTGCCCAGGGAAGCTGTGGATTCCCCATCCCTGGAAGTGTTCAAGGCCAGTTTGGATGGAGCTTGGAAAAACCTGGTCTAGTGGAACGTGTCCCTGCCCATAGCATGGAACTGGATACGCTTCAAGTTCCCCTTCCAACCCAAACCATTCCATGATTCTGTGGGAAAGAAAAACAACCCAAAAAAAACCAAACAAAAAAAACCCTCCAAAGAAAAACTTTGGATGAAGTTTGAATGGGGATGTGATGGAGCAGAGGGAGGCTACAAAGGCCTCCCTTGTGGGAGTGGCAGCAGCTCCTGAGGAAGGGACTGCAGCCCTGGCAGCAGGACAGAGTCCCTAGCCCTGGGACTGTCCCTGCAGTGGGACAGTGTTCCTGGCAGCGGGACAGTGTCCCTGGCAGCAGGACAGAGTCCCTGGCAGTGGGACAGTGTCTCTGCAGTGGGACAGTGTCCCTGTGGAGCTGCAGCCCTCACTACAGGCTCTGGGCTGGCAGCTCCTAAATCCTGCAGGATTGTTCTTTGAAAGGGCAGCGGGGGAAAGGGTCCTCCAATTCCTGCAGGTGCTGAGGAGCTGCTGAGGTTGCTCCTGAGACCTCTGTGCTACAAACCCCATCCTCCTGTTCTGCTGCTGTGCAAGATGGATAGAGGGGTCTTTTCCTGAGCAGGCTGAGGAGCTGGAGGAGCAGGTGTTAGGTGCATGCAGGAGGGAGGCCATGGACCTGCATTAACAAAGTGGATGAGAATGGGAAGTATCCTCCTTCCCGAGACCCCATTGCCATTTTTTGTGCTTCCCAGCGATCCACACAGAGCAGGGAGGCAGGAGGGGGCTGATCAAAACTTTTTGATTGTTCTCTCTTGACAGTGTTTCCTGATGATCAGTAAGAATTTAAGCTTGTGAGGCTGCTTGACACCATGTTGACTTAGCCCACTAACTTTTTTACAGATTTTGCTTACAAAAAAACCAAGCAAACTTATTCTTATTTAATCATAAAATAGTATTTTTTGGTGGGAAGCCATCTCTTGGAAAACTTCTATGATACAGCCCAATATCCTATAATTGATTTCATTGTACTCTAACATGGGTGAGTTGTCCCCAGAACTTAAACATATAGAAAGTTTTATATAACATGAATTTAACCTTGTTTTTTCAAGATATTTCTTTTTCTGATGGGATTAATTTATGGAGGTCATTGTAATTGGTTTATTATGTTGCTAATACAAGAACAGTGAGTAAATTCCCTGAAGAACTCCATTTCCTTTAGTGAGGAAAATATTGGTGTGCCCTGTAGCTCTGATTCATGCTGCTATTGTGAAGTCAGCCAGCTGTGAGATATATGTGTCGGCAATGGATGATAAATGTGTTCTAATAATCCAGTATACAAAGTATTTCCATAAAAATTCTTCAGTAGTATCCAAGGACATTAAACAGTCCATCAGTAAAGTCCCTCTTTAAATGGTTTTGAATCAGGCACAGGCTGTTTTAATGCACAATTGTACAGGCTATCTCAAGTTTTCCCCATGAAAGTTCCAGAATCTGTTTTTAACATATGATTATGATACTGCTGAGAATGTTGCTTCTGATAAAAATTCATACCGATTTTCAGTATTCTCATCTCTAGCTGCATACAAGAAATTAATCATACTTATGCTTTTATTACTTGGGATATAATTGTGTATTTTTTTACAGTCATCACAGAAATTAGCTTTAAAAAAATCTTAAAATATATAATTTATACAGGATTAAAATTAACTTCGATAACTTACAGAGCACTCTACATCCCTCCTCTTCTTTGTGGCAGACTTGGGTCTGTTTAATTCCAGTGCAACAGTGGGATGAAAGTCAAAGCCCTTCCTGCTAGAGCTTGATCCAGCCACAGTGCTGGACTGACACCCTCCTGTCCATCCTGATTCCTCCTTCCCCAGATATTTGGTTAGGAAGGATTTCATACCAGAGAAATGCTTTCTTCTATTAAAAAAAAACTAATCAAGAAGACTGGATGATTTATTCTAAAACAAAGATTATACATTTATTGATTAAACTGGCAATACAGACTACCCAAATCTCTGTG